ATGAACGCACCAAAAAGGAATACAGCTAAGGAAATCTGAAACGATAGGCCATGTTTGTCAACGCAGTTCCCAAATTTGTCCATAGTTTCCTCGTTTACTTCAACAGTCCACACTGTGCTCCTCAAAAATGGCGCAGACAAAAGCCCTCCGCAAACCCACGAGAGTACCATCACATTTCTACTGTGTTTCCATGTAATTGTCCTGGCCCTAAACGGATGAACAATGTGAATGTATCGATCAAATGATATTCCGGCCAGAATAGCAAATGTTACCGCCAAAGTAGTGTGTCTACTGAAGTCGATCAATTTACATATGAAGTCGCTCCCGCCAATAATTTCTCCTGGCAGCAATTCCGGAACAGAAACGGCTCGAAAGAGAATATCTGTAATGGCCAGATTCAATAAATGAAAGTTGGAAAAGCTTTTGAAACATTTCCTCTTCTTGCGAATCAATATCCAACAGACAAAAACGTTTTCCAAAACTCCACACAGCACTAAAACCAATCCAAGCACAAAATGTAGACCATATTGGTTTCTATTTTGGTCGACGAGCTCTTCACGGCCACTAAATGTTCTTCCATCGTCAAATTCGGTGAAATATAAGTCTTCTTCATCTTTCCAATTCATCTCAACAAACTTAATGATAAAATGAAGCAACAGGGCTAGAAGGTTAACAGAAGAAGTGAATTTTTTTCCCTGTGGATAAGCTTTTGTCTTCAACCTCGGCAATCTCCAAGCCGAATATGGCGTTTCAGTATTAAGAGAGTGTCTCTGTAAGAGCGGTTCGGTCGACGACGCGAAGCGGAGTGGTTTCCAGCTTATCGAGTGTTTACATCAGGCTATGTAAACACGGAAACCATTTTACATTTCTTTTATAAAATAACTAATGAAAGAGGAACAAAAACCGTGATTACATACGCTCATGTAAAATGGTTTTATGGCCAATCAGAGCGCGCGTACTATTTTAATTATTTTATAAAACTGCTTCATCTTCGCGGCAATATCACGCTGGTATTTTGACATTCGGATCGACAAGAACGGTGATCAGGTCTCAGGACATTCAAAAGCTGTTTGGAGTTATCATTCCAGTTGAATCTGGTAATCTTCAGTAACATTTTCTGTTATATATTTTTGTCACGTGACATATCTGCTCGAAAAGAGTAGAAATTATTTATTAGATGAAGGGTACTTAAGTGCACATCACGTTGAAAAAACATAGATCTATGTGTAAGTGCTTTTAATTGCAGATGGAAATATGTACAATGTTGCTTGGTTGATAATCAATAATGTGTTTGTAAAAGGTTAAATCACCTGACAACGCAATATACTTACGCACGGTTCACAATTATTTGCGGTCAGTTCTCCTCATGCGATCAGTTTGTATGATTCTCATTAACTAGTATGATTAAATTTGCAGACTAAAACACCCCTTATTTGATTAAGAATAATAAAAGTAAACAGTGCATCACGGTTTTCAATTCCTGATGGATGCTACTGGGCTTTACTTTAACTGAGAAATTTGCAATCGCTTACCTCAGCTCTCTGTGTCCCATGTCGTAAGAGGCACAAGAAAAAAGTTGATGATAGTGAGTCTTGGCCGAGACAAGAAGAATCAGAGAAGAATCTACGGTCCCCAGAAACGCCACTTTTAAACACGCGACAACTAAAGTAAATTGAATTAAGGGGTATTTGTTTTATTGAAAACTATCGTTCAGGTTATAAGATACGCGAATAACTCTCCCCACCGATTTTTTCTTATATTCTGTTAATCAAAAGTTTCAATAATTATAAAGGCTTTCTTGTTGATCGTCTTAATAGTAACAGTTTCCAGGATCCAAGGGGAGCAAAAGAGAGAACAATTTTCTGTGTAGTTAGGTAAGGCGACATGCCGGCTTTATACTTCTTCCGGCGTGAATACGATAATGATGACAACAATGGGTAAAAAGCACCGTCCGCTATTGATGACGATTATCATAGTTATAAACAAATCTCAGTTAAAGTCCTAAAAAAAAATCTCAGGGGGTCCTTTTCACTTTCACTGTTTTCACTCAGCGGCTGATCATCGGTCACGTTTATGAGGTAAACATACCGATCGATTCCTGATCACCGTGCTTGTCGATCAGAAAATCAAAATAATGAGCGTGATATTGTCGCGAAGATGAAGCAGTTGTGTTATTTGATTCGTACTTCACATTCGAGTCGAAGCTTGGGTGGCACAGGTTATTTCTTTTGGTGGAATCGACGAGGGGAATTCGAACACTAGTTGTAGTGTTTGAATTGTTGGAAGAAATGGTCGCATGGGGATGGTAAGTTTAACGAACAATTTCAAATTTTGCCGCTTGAATTGAAAGTAAAGTTCATTTGAATTGCTTTCGTATGTATTTCTGACGGTTTTAGATCTACCTGCTTGATTTATATCAGTTACGCTTCATGTTGACAAGTCCCTCAAAATGGCGGCCAAACTTGTAGATTACCGAAAATTAGGTAAGTTCACGGAGTTATAAAGTTCTCGTAAAGGTCGGGCCGCAAAGTTTTTTTCTATAGTTACCTTTTCTAAGACAACTACTTCCTAGCTATGTTAGTTGGATCAGTTAAGAACGCCTCACTTTTTCAAAAATTTACCTTGAATTTGATCGGTTTTGGCGTGTGTGATTTAGGCGATCCGATAAGGTGTCATTCAAGTCTTCCTGTTTCCTTGATTGAAACGTGATGTTTGCGAAAGTCGCCTCGATAGATAAGATAAAGTCAATCTACATGGGGCTGTGGTAGTTGTTTAATTCTGAGTTCCGTAGTTTTTTGTAAATTGTCCTCCAAAGTTGTATGAAATTAAAGTCTTGAAAAGTGTCACGACAAGCCTTTGCTCGAGTGAAAACTCCGAAAAGTAAAGAGATCCGATCAAACTGATTGTTGTTTTAGTATAGGTACATGAATGTCTTACAACACACAAGAAACGAGCGAAATCCGTGTCGCAACAAAATCGACCGGACCGCTCTTACAGAGACAATCTCTTAAAATCCTTAGTAACTTTGACATTCAACTCACCTATGGATGATCGATACTGCAAATTCTATTTGAAAAAACAATACGCCAGGAGGCAATCGCCATCATTCTCGTACATATTTTCCCAGCATCTAACACTAATAGCATCGTCAAATCGATTAAATTCACCTTACGTCAAACAGCTTTCAAAAATAACCATTAGAAAACTTAACAGCTGTCGTAGCCAAATGGAGGTAAGATTATAAGGTGTTTTAAAATGATCACGTCATTTTGATAGAAACACTAATTTTTTGATAGATCACAGCTTCCACAATTTACGTTTCCCCCCCCTTTAAATTCACATTAAAGTAAAGTTTAAATAATTCTCCACAATTTGTGATCTTTTTTTGATAATTTTTTCAATAATGGAGGTTACCATAGAAACAATACAGCCTTTCTAATTAACTCCTACTATTTCTACATTTGCTTATATATACGAAAATCAGCTCTCAAAATAAATCTCTCTGTAACGATGTCATAAAAAGTTGTACATACAGTTTGGAGCCATCTCATTTTTTTTTGATCGGTTAATCATGGTGGCTCTCTTAGAAGAAAAATGAATTTTTAATACGCTGATTGCAATTTAAAATATGTGGGTCAAAGAACTCGTTTTTTTAGTTATGAATACATAGCACTAAAGTTAAAGGCGCTTCTAAGGAGCTACAGTATCGCTGTGGTAACCAAGCATGTCATAAAGAATGATTAAAACAATGCATATTATTTTAGCACATTTTTAAAAGGAACAAACGAAAGTTGTGGTGTTATCGATGCATCAAATAATTTCAGTTTTAAACTGATAAAACTATTTCGAGAGAAGAAGTATACAACGCCTAAGAAAACGTCGATTGGAAAAATAAACCAACATTTGTCTGACTTTCATTTAATAACATGTGATAGCCTGGGTGGCTGGCGCCGAAGTGAAGAGGAGACGGGGGAGGGGAAAGCTAATTCGAGTGTGGATCGCGAACGTTGAGGTCTTAGCGTTCCAGCTTAATTTTCCCTTTACGGTATCAAATGATTACTTCCGTCTGGGCAGTCGTAACGTCAGTCATTAATACCAACAACGGCCCTTCTCAAGACTACCCTCACCCGAACGAACAAACTACACGATCAAATGTTACCCCCGGGTTCAAAATATTTACGGTATCTACTCTGTGCGCTGGCTGAAGGCAACACTCCCATGGCTAACGTCGAGCTTCCATTGGAAGCGTGAATTATTTCACGTCAGCGCTCCCGTTCTGAGATTAAGCCGCAAATTTGGTGATCTCGCACTACTTGCACAATTGGTTTCCAAAAATTATTCCACATGTACAAAGTTCACCTACAGTGCTTTAATTCAAATACAAAATTCTTCTCCAACATGTTCTCGTTCACATGACCTTCGCACTTGGCATAAATTTCTAGGAGATTGTCGGTTTTCGTGATGAAAGCGTCTAAGAAAAAAGGGGCCACTCCTGATCCTCTTACACTAAACGGGTCTCTTCAAGCTGACAATAGTAAAACTCAACAATTGGCATCACTGAGTCGTTTCTCGATTGATTATTGACAGAAAACAAAACTAGAATTCAGTATGTGAGCACGCTCTTATTTAAGCTTAGGAGCCCACTCGGATCAGTTTCGCGGGAAACCTTAGGAAATCCGTGGCTTACTCGAACACATCAGTAACTTGATTCGGTACATGTCCCTTGAGGTACATCTTCAGTCGTTTACTACCACTTTTCTACTAAAAACTTTATTTTTTCGATTTTCAATTATCTAATCGTGATGATTACTTCTGAGGTAAGTGTTCGCTACCTACCTCTTTAACTAATGCACAATTCAAATGTAATTAAAATGTCATTAAAAGCCTGCCTGCGGCTTAAACAGCCTGCGCTCGGTATAAATTAAACAATGATCGCCAGTTAACGTTCTTCAGACAGACCGCACAATTACATTTTTCATAAACACAATATCTTTCGCATTTTACAACTTCGTTTCTAGACAATCTTCTCTAATTACTGCTCCGTTTGCTAACGAGTAATTATTTCCAACAGCTCTCGTGTTGTCTTCTTCCATTTCAACTGAACGGACAGTTTTCTTTTCAACTTTTTTCGGATTTTTTGCCTTGTGCTTGCATTTTTGAAAAATGTTAAAACACTTTCCTTCACAACATTTCTTGAGATCTTCTCGAAAAGACTTACTGTAATAACCAAAGATTACGGGATTCAGAATCGAACTTGTAAATGTAAACGCCTCTATGATATCGTCAATGATTAGTAACTTTATGTAGTATTTCTGCGCTTCTATTTGGGATTCGTAGGAAATTTCTTCTCCCTCCCAGAAATAATCGTCTTCCAGAGAAATAACCTCGAAAGCTTGAAGGCAAAGCCAAATCAGTTGTGGACCCCAGCTGATGGAATAAGCCAATACAATAATGACCATCATTTTAACGGCTCGAACCTTTGCTTCGGCTAGTTTTGAATTGATCACTTTACTTCGCGCGTGCTGCCAGAGACTTTTCAAAACCTTGCTGTATGCCACAGCCATAAGAACTAAAGGGATTAAAAATGCAAACACGAGAAACACAGTGGAAGAAACTTGAGATGGAATGCCCAAAATGGGAATACATATCTCGTATACTGAACTGTCCGTCAGATTCCAATCCAATTTAGTGTATTTCATACTGAACAGGATTGGCGATGAACAAAGTGCCGCGTACAGCCATGAAATCACCACAACATTTCGGCTGTGTTTCCATGTGATTTTCCTTGCTTTAATAGGACGAACAATATGTACATAGCGATCGAAAGCCATTCCTAAAAGCAGCGCGAATGTTACGGCCAATGTGGTGTAGGAGGAAAACGCGACCAGCTTGCAAACTGCGTTGTTGCCATGTTCAACAGCAGTGTTTTCAATGGTAGCAAGCACTGGCGTAAGAACTACTCTAAAAACTATATCAGTTAATGCAATATTGAAGAGGTGAAAGTTCGAAAAGTTCTTCGTTAATCTTTTCTGTCGGAGAAGAACACCACATACAGTACAGTTAGCAATGACACCCAGGAAGGCCAAGAGAAGTCGAACCGCAAAGGCAGCGTTCAGAAATATATCGTACATCTGATATCCAGCGAAGTATACTTCCACAGACAGCGAGGAGCTGTTATCTATGCCGTTGTCTTCACTATCGTTCATTGTGTGTTAATTGCAAAAGGAAAAAAGTTTTCGACGAGTTACAGCGCCACAAGTTAAGTCGGCAAGTTACGAGGCAACACTAAAGAGTTTTGAAAATGACTGCCTTGCTTTGAAGGAAAAACCATTCACTTGGAACAATGAACATGAAAACTACATGAAGAACAATTTACCTCCTGTGGTTTAAGTACTTTCGTTTGTATGGAAACAAAACCCTTAAGTAAAAAAATTCATCTTATACAGAAGTTATAATTCTTATGACCGCTTGTACACTGTCTCAAAGTGTTAATTACAGACAGAATGATGTGCTTGTTCAAATATAGGTACGAACGCATCAAAAAAACCATTTTGAATAGAGACTGAGATAAAGGCATGGAGTATTGCTGTTTGTAACAGATTATAACAACTGGCAGATTAATTATCAATTCCAATGACAATCACAACCATGTCTCTTTGGCAATTTCCCTCAAACAGTTCGAATCAACATTACTCTGTGAATGAAGCTTTAATTTCCAAGTACCTTGAGTTCCCTATGATGAATGTGTAGTCCTAGCAGCTGAATCCACGGAGTCACTAAAAAGGCTATTTCTATTCATGACAAATTACGTAGTTAACAATGGCCATAAGCTGATGAATCCGAACAGAGTAAATTTGACAAATTGCACGTACATGTCAAAGTGTGTCAACTGAAAAAATTATTATTTAAACAAAATTACCAGCATACTAATGACATTCGAAGTTTATTGAGGAACAATCGGAAGGAGTAATTCCTTCGACAAATACCTTTTTTGTTCAAAATGAACAATTTGACGCCTAAATTGTTAATGAAACAAACTCAGCCTCACATACGAATCAGTTAATCTGGATATTGGGCGATTTTATAGTTTTCTGAATAAAGGAACGCAAGAAATACTTCTAGAACCGCCAAAAAAAAAACAAAAACAAAAAAAAACATAATGCCCTATAACGCAAAGAATACCATTAGGACTGTAAGAAAGACCCCTAGAACAGTAAAAAATACCCCTTGGACTACTAGAAATACCCCTTCGAGTGTACAAAATATCACTTCATTACTCTTCACATTATTAGGAATTCCTCAGCCTGGGAATTCCTTTACCACAGAGGTAAGACATGACAATCCCATGATCGATGTATCAAAGACTTCTTTCATTACACTCTGGGAGTTTTACGTAATCCTTTTGTTTTCCTTTCAGCCCAAACGGTCACTTTACTAGAGTTCCTATGTGTATCTTCAACTACATCGGGGGCAAACACTTCGATGAAGTATTTCGGTGGAACTCTAGTCTACAACAACGTATGAAGACAGACTTTAGATCACCATGTTAACTCGTGGAAATTACTGTATTTTCCCTACGAAAATATAAGCCCGTTCTAACAGGACATCTGCAAATTATTCTGTTCCCTAATCAGGAATATCATGCAATCTGCTCACTTCGTCCAAACAGCTCCTCGAGCAGCAACAAAAGGCAAATGAACACGTAGTGTCACGCAATCCTTGGAAGATTTCGGCGCTGGTAATACGCAATGCTGTGTTTGCGCTTTCTTCCTGGAGGAATACCGCTGTGAAGTAAGAACTGTCACAAACGAAACAGTGTCCTGTGGGCGCAGCCAGTAGAGTGGTCACGTGGGATGGAAGCTCAAGGGACGAAAGTTTTTCAACACTGACTGACCGAACTATGCAAAGGAAATAACCATGGTAACGGAAGTCTTTAGAAGTAACAAGTTTTCAGTCACAAAAACACGGTCTTAATTTACCAATAAGAATTACAAATACAGAGATCACCAGAAGATCTGCAGAAGCATTGGTTTGTGGGAATAAAGTGCAAAACTATTCAATACCTGACCATGATGTTATAGGCACACTAAAAAACTATATGTTACAATAATCTAAATAATTTAAAAAGTTGGTGTGCAAAAAACGCTGCATTAATTGTGCGTATCGCAATAAAAATTATATTTTCGGTCCTACAGTGTAGGATCTAAAAAAAACTCTTGAACACATTTGGTTAATTGTGTGAGCACTCTGCAGAGAACAACAAAAATGCACATTTTGCTGTACTGATCATATTTGTCTTTTGATTGCGTGACCTTTTGCAACTCCTTATTTTTATGTCATTAATATGACTACCACACTTTTCCACCTTTCTGGAAAGTTCTTGGTAGTTGATTAATTCTGACTTACCCACTGGGTAATCTTGCCAGGCCAAGTACTCCAAAGTTTCATATTTAATTCAATGCCAGAAACCGAGTACATTTCGATCAAGCAAAACTTTTAATTATAAGTCACAACAACAATCAAACCAAAGACAATAAGATATACTCACCAAAGCAGTGCACTTTTCTGAGGCACAACTCAAGGAGAGGAAGGATTCTTCCACTGCTCCCTTGAAGAATATTCCTTAAATTCAACACCTCCACCAATTCTGTCGAAAAAATATATTGGAATGCAACTGTAAAACATATTAGTTGTAACAGTCTCCCAAAACTTGGAATATAATAATCTTCAATGAATTGGTAGCACCTTTACAAAGGAATGTAATTAAAATGATACTGATACTTAGACTTAAATTCTCACCTCTAGAATCTCTCCCTGGCAGTCTGGCCAGCTCCTTAGTGGCACTAAGTAATCAAGAGAGAATGTTAGTCAAATTTATGTCCCATCTCTAAGTCTAAAATAAAATATGAGAAGAGAACTTCCAGCTTGCTGTATAAAGGGGTCTGCAACTACTGTTCAGTACTCCTTTGGAGTTTTCCACCTAGAATTGGCAACAGAGGCAATTTGAAATAAAAAAGTGACCAATTAACTAATGTAATTGACATTTTTTATCACATAAGTTTGTAACTTTTTCCTTACACCACTCTTTGAGTGAATAAGTTCTTCATGGCCATAATTTACAATAATGTGGACCATCACAGAAGGTTATCGGGGTAAATTTGTTTCAGATTTGAAACACATACCAACCACTCAAGCCAATCATTTTTAAATCCTTCATTTTCAATAGTGTTGCTGGTAACAGCTGAAGTTTGGTATTGTGATCCAGTATCAGTGACTCCAGCGATGAGAGTTTATTCAAATCTGCGAAGTCACAACACAAGTAAAATTCTGAATCATGAAGATCTATATATGTATCATCCACTGAACTTGAAGGAAAAAAAACTTTCTTCTTGGCAGTACTATGAATTTCTTTTTAGCAGTTAAACATAGCCAAACTTGAATTATCTACAGGTATGTGGATTTAGGGATGCTTAAAGTTTACCTTGAGGCAAAGTACACAAATTATTTCCACTTGCATACAGTTCAGCCAGTCCTTGATGTGTCATTAACTGATGTGGAATCTTCTGAACTGCATTCCCATCAAATGACAGAATCTTGAGTGATGAACAGTTACACAGTTGCCATGGTAACCACTCGAGCTTGTTGTTCATGACATTGAGATCTCTCAAATTGATGAGATTTCCAAGCTCTACAAACAACCAAAGAATCAGTGTGATTTGTTATTGTAATTCATCACTTTTCCTTGACAATGAAGCAATCAAGCACATCTTAAAAGTAAAAAGGCCTGCCTGGTCAGGGCTAATTATTATCTAATCATCAAAAAATATAAGCAACAATGTTCTTCTGACTAAAATAACATGCCTACCTTTAGGTAAAAATGTCAACTGATTGTTGGCAAGTTCAAGGGAAGTCAGTGATTTCAGCTGACTGACAGCTGGTGTCAGGATCTTAAGGTGGTTGAAACTGACATTTAATTTTTCAAGCACTTGAAGTTTTCCAATCTCTACAAGCCAGAATAACACATTTTCATCAGACTCCCATGCATGAACACCAGTATTTTTAAATTGCCTTGTCTCAGAATCTCAGCTGAATTGCATAAATCTCTGAAAATCTCATAAAATGTTTTTGATAAAAGCCTCATTAAAAATGTGCAAAACTAGAGTGGAGGTAAAGTTAAGTTTGAATAAGAGACTGACTTTAGAATAACCTTAATAATTTATGCTAGTGTAGCATGGAGTTCTTTGCATGGTCAAATGGTAATTTTCAAAAGATTACCACTATAGAATTATGAAAAGAAAAAATTGGTGAAGTTCACATTTTCAATATTTTATCATCATGAAAAGGCTGACAAGAATTATTTACCATCTGGAAGGTGATGAAGGTAATTAGAATGTATATATCTGCAAAAAGAAAAACATCATAAATCAGATTAATTCAATGCCACCTTTAAATTAGTTTGTTGCTATTAAAACCACTTCTTAACCCTGCAAGCATCTTAATTCTCTAACCTCCAGTTTAAATATGTGCCAAAGCCATTTTTAAATGGGTCATAATCACAATAGAGAAGTCTATAAAATATACCACAGTACACCAACCCACTTAACTTGTTCAAAGACCTGTACTGACCCAGTTGATCTGAGTCAAAGTTAGCAAACTCAGGGAAAGTGGGTTACTTTATGGAGCAAAGGGAAACCTCAAAAGCTGATTTACTTAAATGAGAGTATTTGCTCATTTACTTAAAAACGATCTTGACATAAAGTTTACTTACAGCTCTACCAGATTTTCAAGCTTCCAGATATCTGCAGGCTAAAGTGTAAAAAGCAATGCGATAAATTCATGAGGAAATAGTTTTTCAAATGTTTTATTAAGCCTATTTATGGTTTCTTACCAGCTTGGTCAGAACATTTTGTTTGAGGTAAAGTTTCTTTATCCTGGACAAATTAAGAAGTTCCTCAGGCAACTCGCTAAGCTTACGATAATTCAAGTAGAGATTGGTATGTCCTTTGGACTGAGCTTCCCAAATTTCGTCATTTACAGACTCACACATTAAACTTTCCTGACCAAAATTGATGGAAGCGTGTCAGTTAGCCTATGTGCGAATACCAGCAGATGAAATTTAGCGCCTTTTCAATTGCTGGATTCCGTCGCCATGATAATCAACGTCCGTAAATTCGCGGGCTCAGTCAATAGCGACATACACGCAAATATGGCGGGCTCAAAAACATCACCGCGAAATTATTTTCACTATTTAAATAAACCAAATTGTTTTGCCCAAACCTGTACGATTTTATAATCAGGCTGAAGGGGACAGATGATGCTGAGATATCTTACAACGCAGAAGTTTGACAACAAATGACGTGAACGCTCATGAACTAGATTACAAATGTGGACGATGATAGCCAGCGGTGTTTATCATGAGCGGTGTTTATCATGAGGACGTTGTTTTCTGCACATGTATGGTTTCTTTACTCCTCTATCCGTAATGTTTGAGTATTTATGGCGAAGCAGAGTTTAGAAATTCTAACCTGCCATTTTATGCGTATTTCCGCTTGACTCGTTCGAAGGAAAGGACGATCAGAAACCATTCGCCAAGCACGTGTCCGAAACAGACTAGCTCAGCTGTGTTAATTTCATGATACATAACCTGTGTCATAAAGGGAATAGTCTTTTTCTTTGGATATAAATCATGAGAAATCTTGAACTACTGAGGAGTTTTCCAGTGCCGGAGTTGGAAGGAACTGAGGACCCATTTTGTTTGTCAGTGGATTGTGATTGTGGAGTTATTTACACCGCAACATCTACTCACATAACAGGCGTCCAGCCCTCCACTCATCAGGTACAACACTGCAGTAGGCCGTGTAATTATGCCTTTGAAAATTCGCTCTTGATAGTTTTTGAAGCCACTATTAATAACTGCTGTACAATAGCCATCAGCTTTTTTTGTGGTTTTTTTTTTATTCTACAGGCTGTAAGTTCTGTTTCACTTGTATCCGATGGGTACCTGCCAGAAGATGGTAGTGGCTGTGTTATTGGAATGCAGCACTTGCCAGACTTGGAATCTGTATGTGTGGCCACTGCAAAAGGAGATGTAATTCTTTGGAATACAGTTACTGACCAGGTAAGCCGAGGTCTGGTTTGGGTAATTGTCAAGAACAAATCCCTCAAAAAAAAAAGAACAGTCAAATATAACCCAAAGTGGGAGTGTGAGTTGAAGCTCTAGGTTTGAGACCTGGCCAAGTCATTGTCTCAGGCTGGGGTGCTTTTGTTGGTTCACGCTCAAGATACTTTTGTAGTTTCTAACTCTCTACTCATGATCAACCAGTAACATCAAACCCAATGGCTAAAATCAGAGGGGATGGGTTGAAGAGGCCATGGGATGAAATAGGGGAAGAAGAGGAGGTTAATTATAATAGGTTTTTTTTGGATAAACTTAAATCTTGAAATATTTGCACCTCACACAACTTACCTTTTTATTATTGAGAAGAAAATATATATTACAATTTGATGGTAGTATTTCCCAGTAAATCATGTAAAAAAGAGAAAAAAAAGGGAAAAATAATTTGAAAAATTTAAGCCTTGATGAGGATCTTGACATGTCCAGGCATGTGGTTCAGTCAATATGTTCCTTTGTCAGGTTGAATGTGTTGGCAGTGTGGACAGTGGGCTCAGGTGTATGGAATGGAGTCCTGATCAAGAGCTTGTGGTATTCATGACAGGTTGGAAAATATTATTCACGTTGATGACCTTTAAGGAATTAATTCTATTGGTATGCTGTTTTGATATAGCACACAAAAACTAATTTACACATCTTTATGAAATCTGAAGACTTTTCCTTTGACATTTTTTAAGGAGAAGAAACTCTTATCATAATGACAAAGGAATTTGATGCCATTTGTGAGTTCCCTTTTCACTCAGAGGAGTTTGGTGAGGGTGAGTCATCCAATTGCTTACAGCACCTTTGTATTAATTGTTGCAGGCTCTCCAAAATAAGGCACAACTCACTATCAAAAGATCTTTAATTTTTATACTATTACAAGTATTGTTAAGGTTTTTTTTTTAATTTTAGATTTACTGAGGAATATAAATACAGATCTGTTAAGACTTAATTCATATGTATATATTTTCTTGTCAGAAAAACCAATCACAGTTGGTTGGGGAAAAAAAGAAACACAGTTCCATGGGTCCCAAGGCAAACCAACAGCTGCTGATGTACAAGAAGTTGTGAGTGTGATTTTCTTTAGTACATGGTGTAATATACTTGTGGTGATATTTATACCTGTCTACTTTAAATCTCACAGAGAGAATTACATACAGTGTTTTTACTTTGAAGTTTTATTACCATCCACAGAAGGGTACTTCAAGTAGGAAGTTCACTTGAATCTTTTTTGCTGCATGCACTGGATTGCATTGACTTTGATTTCATTCTACAACAGATTGCCAAGCCTGCTGCAAGTTGGGATGACAGGAAACCAAGAATCAGCTGGCGTGGTGATGGACAATTTTTTGCAGCCAGTGCAATCCATCCTTTGACAGGTATCTGCTTTAGCACATCATTTTTGTTCTTAATACTCCTACCTTCATCTCTCTCCTCCCCTGCTAAATATCATACTTTGCTTTCAAGGGCATTGTACAACTTTGACTTCACTAACTATGGCTCATTCTGAGTTCTATATCTCCAGTCATGTCAATTAATTTTGTTCACAATTTTAGTCAGCATCCAAATGTATGTACCATAAGTCACACATGAAAATGATTGTATGTTGCTTGATGATAGGTGCAAGGACACTAAGAGTATGGAATAGGGAAGGTGTACTCAGCTCTACAAGTGAAAATGTTGATGGATTGGAACAGGCATTATTTTGGAGGTAGGTTCATGAAAGTCATTAGCAAAGTTTTGTTGCTTTCCCTCAAGCTCGTTTGCCTCTATTTTTTTTTCTATTTTTTTATACAGTTTTTATTTAATTGTCTTAACTTTTTTCCATTTTTTTAAACATTTGTTTTTATAATTATCTTTTCAGACCATCAGGCAGCTTAATAGCTTCAACCCAGCGCAAGCCTCATAGACATGAAGTGATTTTCTTTGAGAGAAATGGCCTCAGACATGGAGAATTTGTGCTTCCTTTAGGCAAGATGGAAGTTCAGGTAAATAGCAGTCAATGGTTTACACTGTAACATCAGTATGCATAATCTCCATACTGTTCTCCATACATGTGGTGAAAAAGGAGAATTTGTATAACAATCACATAAGAACTTCCTTAGTTGGTGATCATTTCTTTTATTCTTGTTACCTCAATGTGTAATTCAGGGGTGATATTGTAAAGAGAAACTGGTCAACTGCAAGGTTAAAGCATTAAACATGCTGTAACAATATTTTATGGCTGATTTGGCGCAATATGTTTTTGTTTAAGTTGAATAAAAACCTCACTGAGGCTGTAATCTCTGGCCTTTGTGATCATAAATGATGATAGCTATAAAAAGCTCATGGGCATAATAATATCAGAGCAGATGTGTGTGGCCTTAAACATGTTGCCTTTCTTCCTTTTTTTGTTTTTGTTTTTGTTTTTTTTGGGTTTTTTTTGAGGGGGGGGCTGTAGTAGACTGTCATTGATAGTTCTCATTGTGTGGTTGCAACATGCCACTTCCCAAAAGAGTGGCTGCTTGGTAAATATTAACATTTTGTATGTTGTAATAATGTCTTGTACAAGGTATTGGAAATAGCATGGAATAATGACTCATCAGTACTAGCTGTCTGGTCTGAAGAGTTACCAAGCACAGAACAGATAGAAGAATTTGTACCAAAGTCTTATGGTTTGTTTTCTTCATTTATAAACCCTGTAAACCCCAACATCGTTATAAATATCCTCCCCACTGTACTCTATACGTTGCCTAAGATGTTGACACGGAGAATTTGTTCAACAACAGAGAGCTTGGTGATCATGTCCTTTATTCTCGTGATTCAGGGGTCATATTGCAAGGAGAATTTAGATGCTGGTCACTCATAGGGATCAAAAGGTTTATTAGAGATGTGTCATTTTTATTTAGATGTAAAACTAAAGTGATAGGAATCACTCTCACTCTCATCTTTTCCAATTAACAATGTTGTTAGATATGGCTCTCTAGTTGTTCTTTCACTAATACTATGCTAAGATAACACTAACATATTAATGTTTTACCTTGTGACTTGCAGTTCAGTTGTGGACAGTGAATAATTATCACTGGTATCTGAAGCAGCAAATGGAATTCCCAGCATCTGCTAAACATAGAGTGGCCTGTCTTTTATGGGACCCAGAGGCTGCCCTAAGAATGCACATCATGACAAGAGGTAAGAATGATCACATGCAAATTGTAGCACATTGGTTGCAAGATAAATGTCATTATTAAGCAAATATATATGATCTTACATGTGCCAGTTGTCCAAAATTGAGATGAGTTAGTGGTCTTCTTCTTGATTATTTTCTGTCATGACTCTGAGCTCAACAAATGCATTTTAAAATTATTTCCTTGCACAGGAGGTCAGTACTTGAGTTATGAGTGGTGTTGGAGTACAGTTCATAGTGAAGGGGCTAGTGAACAAAACATGTCCACTGTAGCAGTAATTGATGGAGGTATAGTTGGTAATACAGTTATAGCTTTTTGAAAGTGTTTTAATTGTTTGAGAATTTTGATTTAAAATTATTCTCTGTTCCCTGTGTAAAATAGATCTCATTCATAAGTAAATAGTTCATGAGTAAGTTTTCCACATTTTCCTTGTTCCCACATTTATGTCGGATCAATATCAGTAGCTGGGCAACTGCCCACCTACCCCTCCCCTAACTCAACAAAAGTCAATTGACAACAAGTTAAGGTTAATGTTGGGTTAGGGGAGGGGTAGGTGGGCAGTTGCCCAAATACTGATATTGATCCTTTATGTTCATACATGTAGATGTACATAGGTGCAGCAAGTTATTGTCAAGTTTTGGTTTGCGTAAATATGCATGGCCATTTATGAATTCAGCCATCTGTATTTTTACCCTTTGCTCTACTAAGAATAACTAGCATCTAAGCCCTCCTTATGATATCACCCCTAAATTAAATGTCAAGGTCAGGAGGCCAAAGGGAATGACCACCAACTTAAGAACTTATTGATTGTTGAACAAATTCTCCTTGCCAGCATCTTAGGAAATGTATAGAGAACAGTATGGTGAATATTTGTACTGATGTTTGGATGTAAAAGCCAGGTTTAGTTCAGATATTCCTTATCTTATTTGTAGCTAAGTTGTTGCTAACTCCAATGAAACACATGGTGGTTCCCCCTCCAATGTCTGCCTATGCCCTGGACCTGCCATCCCCAGTGTCCACCATCAGCTTTGCTCCCCCCACACACTGTAGTGATATGGCAGTTATGATGTCCAATGGTAAGATGGCAATCTTCAAATTATTGACAGAAAATGGCAAAAAAGAAGTGTTCAGGGCACCTGGCAAAGCCCCAAAACTTGTTGGCATTTACAGGTAACATAGTGTTGCTATTTTTCTCTCAACAAAATTCTTTCTCTTGGTACAGAAATTGACAGATAATGAAAAGATGCATTTAAATTGTTTACTTGTGTTCTCTTCCAAGCTACAACCATTTTGGTACCCATGGGGACTTAAAAACAATTTTGGCAACTTAGTCACCAACTTGGATACCTGTGTTTTACCTCCATGTGATATGTTGTTACATATTTAGAACCAAGTTTTAGGGTTTGAAGACAAGACGATCCTAGACCCAGGCAACCATTTTGTAATTTTAGGATGTGGAATGGAATAAGCTTCTTGCTTATTTACTCATTCTTTATTATGTGTTTCTTGTACATAACAGTATAGACACCAAAGACTTTCCAACAGTATGGACAGGAGCCTTGTGTTGGCGGCAGATGATTTGGTGGAAGGACTGCACCCTTATCGCAGTTGGATGGGATACCATGAGTCAGAAAGACATTGTTTGTGAATTAGAGATCTCTGCAGAAGATGGGGCTAATAGCATTGCTATCAGGTGAGAGTTGAACTTATGTGTATTCACAGTGATACAGTCTTACTTATTTCTATTTCCTTTGTGAATCACAGCCAGTCTGCCATTAACAGGGTTTCATTATAGTAGATTGTGAGCCAGGCAATATACCCACATAACATGCAAAGTTATATCAGCAGAAGTCATTGATTCCAAACACAATGCTGGTGGGTGTCTCGTTGTTCCTTTCAATGGAGTAAACTTCTGTTAAACTCTTGAGATTTTTTTTTACATGATTTGCAAGCACCCTCAATTTTTCATAACACTCTCCATTACCTTTCGTTTGTTAACAATTTATTTGTTAAGAAATCCAAATAAACAGTGGTCTACATAACCAGCATACTTGAGAATGCAAGTCATTATTTACCCTTTGACTCACAAGAGTGACTAGCATCTAAATTCTCACAGCAAAATTTCAAGGAAATGTGTAGAAGCTAGAGGGGAGAATTTACAATATCACTGCTGAATCAAACTTTAAGGCCACGAGAGTAAAGGAAATGATCACCATGTAGAGAAGCTTTTTATTGTTGAACAAATTCGCCTTATCAGCACCTTAGAAATGTTTAGAGAACAGTAAAGGGAATACGGAGGATGTAAAGGTTTCACTAAGCTTTATTACTTCCAATTTCTTCTCTTTTCTTCTCAGGCGCACGACTGAAACCGACACGCCAGTCCTTCGTCTTTGTGCCCGTCGTCACACTGAGTCTGTATTGGTGGAGCTCATCAATGGAAACTTACTTAGTTACACTTCAGGTATCTAACTTGAAAGGCGAGTTGAGTCCTTGTTCAAAGGTCTCCTAAATCTGACGTGACATATTTATTTTGTTTTCAGATTCAAGCCAGGCCAAATTATCACCATGGTTTAACAGTCGAGGACTTGAAATCTCTCTCCCTCAACCATGCCAGTGTGTAAAAACAGCCTTAGTGGGAGATGAGGTTTGTAACTCAAATCTAATTTTGTTCAGTGGTCAAAGTTGACCCGAGTCTCCTCACCTTCTGCAGTTGTTAGACATTTTTGAAGCAGTTTCTTTCGGACAGAAAAGACGTGCAGTCATAGTATCACAGTGAGGAATTAATCCCCCCCCTCCCTCCCCACCCTTTCTAAAGCCTCAAGCCCCAATTTTACTAAAGGACCTTTGTCAATTGACTGTGAACTTCCATTCCATGGAATAAAACAGCGATGTCATATCCAGTTTCTATGGCGGATTAATTCCTAAAGGAGGATTTAAAAAAAACACACCCGTGAAGGCAGATACAAAATTCGTCAACCTCAGGCAAAAGTTAAACCCTGACATTTTGATCTGGACTCATGAAAACTTTCCCCGAAGCCATTTTGCCGTAACTAAGCAATCCTTTTTTTTTGAAAATTTACAGGAAGTCGTTCTGGGATTGACTGAACACTCAAGGTTATATGCGAATAACAAAGAGGTACGATTCTGTATTTTGATGATTTTATCGTAGAGCCAAATACCACAGCTGACAGCGGAACACAATTTGAATTTTACATTATAGGTGGCTTCAAACTGCTCTTCCTTCGCTGTTCATGATGAATTTCTTCTTCTAACAACGCATGCGCACACGTTGCGTTGTATAAGTCTTTTACCAACCACGCGAGGTAGGTTCCAGACATTTTGATTAGAAACTTATTTTCATGACTAAGATCGACACGAATTCTTAGAAATAAAGCACTTGCAAAATTAAGGCGACATTTTTCCATATCCGAACTCTGAGTTAGTGCGGTTAAGAATCCATCACCTTTTTTAGCTTTAGCGCCACAAACTTGTTTGATCTCAGCGAAAGCTTACTTCAGACTACTCCTTGATGTCGTAGGTTTGCCAGTTTTGGTTGAAGATAAACCGCATCCTTTGGATGAAAACATAAGACGCGTCGAGAGAGGTTCACGGATAGTTGTCGCAGTTACTCAAGATACGAAAGTTGTTCTGCAGGTACGAGAAAAGGAATACTTTAAAAAGACTTCATTTTGCCACTGTGGAATTCTTTTACATTCAGGCCTGGCGTTTAGGTTACCGTGTTGAACTCTGAATCGAGAAGTCTGGGTCCGAGAGGCCATGACGAGGTCATCTGAGTTGTGTTCTTACGTAAGACTCTGAACTCTTACAATGCTCTCTTCGCCAAACTGCCAGGAAATACTCGCTAATTACTGGGTGGATTCACAAGCGATGGTCTCGCACACCATCCAGAAAGAATGAAGTTTTCCTAGTTGCTTCTTTCTAAAGAAACACGGTTAAGTTGCGTAGCTACTCAATTCAGCTTCGTATACAGACCCTATTTTAGTGACAAGAACTTTTGCCAGAGGTTTTCCTCATGTGGCTAATGTATACAACTTAAGTGTTATCTTTGTCTGATTATCCTCATAGATGCCTCGTGGAAATATAGAGACTATTCATCCTCGATCACTAGTTTTGTCGTATTTACAAAAATGTTTAGACAGGTGAGTGGGCCTGGTGATGAGACTGGATTTTTGACGAGACTGGACACCAGGTGACTAGTGCCTAAGATCGGATGTTGGTGTTTAAAAACGGATACTAGTCTCGGAATAATTGGACTTAAGACACTGGCAACCCAAAGCAGACTCCAGTGTCTATAATGGAACATTGTTGTCTAAAATCGAAACTCTAGTGTCTAAAATAGGACACTATGGGGTCTAAAATCGGTCACTATTGTCTAAAACCAGACTCTAGTGTTTAAAAGTGGAGAACCGTGTCTAAAATTGGACAATAGTGTCTAAAATCGGTCACTACTGTCTAAAATCACACGCTAACGTCTAAAAGTGGGGAACAGAGTCTAAAATTGGACAATAGTGTCTAGAGTCGGTCACCACAGTCTAAAATCATACGCCAGCGTCTAAAAGTGGAGAACAGTGTTTAATATTGAAAAACAGTGTCTAGAATCGGGCACTAGTGTTTAAAATCAGACGCAAGTGTCTAAAAGCAGACGCTAGTGTCTAAAATCGGACATAGTGTCTAAAATCAGATTCTAGTGTCTAAAATCAGATACTAGAGTCTAACTTCGGACAATAGCGCCTTAATAGACTACTCTGATCTAGAATTGGGCGTGGTTATGTTGATCAATGTACCTTTGGTATTTCAGTCTCAGCTATGGAGAGGCCTTTACCGTCATGCGCCGTCATCGGATCAATCTTAATTTGATACATGACCACAATCCCAAGGTGAGTATCACTTTTTTATGGCTGAATGAAACCAAATTAGTGGTACAAGTTTCTTGCACTCAAGACCGGGGCCGGGGAACCGGTCATGTGAGCGAACATTTTTGGTTTTCTTTATTTGTTTATTTATTTATAATAAAATATCTACTGAAATTCTGTCTTTCGCAGCTTTTCTTGGAAAATTTGGATAAATTTGTGAGTCATGTGGAATCGGTAAATTTTATCAACCTATTCCTCACGGATCTTAAGTATGTGGTTTTCTGAATTTCGATTTCCAATTTAAAAGTGTCAAAATGTTTACGATCGGGTGTTTTTAATTTCTTGATTTTTTTTTCTCTGGCAGAGAGGAAGATGTGACTACCACGATGTATTCTGATTATTATTCTGAATCAAAACAGACGTACGTGTTTATTTAATATGTTTTCAACACTTTCCACCCTAACATCAATATGTATATTCTCCATACTTGCCTCTGGCATTCACGTTCTCACAAGCACAGTCGTTTGACCGCTTTGTTGGTTGCCATGGTAATAGCAACTTTTCGTCTTCTTTGCTCTGATTTATCACCAACCTGTTGTTAAAACGCCTTTTGCTGGCGCACTGGCGTCTTTTTAGATTGTTTGAAAGGAGCTCTCACTATAAGCGCTGCAAGACGCGTGTTTCCCTGCCCGTGGGAAGATTGGAGACGAGTTGGGTAGAGGTTTGGTTAGACTCCTTTCAGAGCTGTCACTGACTCGTATTGTTCAAGGTCTCATACTTCCCACGGGCAGAGAAAAGCTCGTGCAGGAGCGCTAATAACGAGCGCTTGTTGCGTCGCAGTATTTTAAAACGGGTAATTTAGTGTTAACAACTGGGTTGAAAACGTAAATTAGCCACCGTAAAGGGTAAAAAAGCTGACGTTTCGAGCGTTAGCCCTTCGTCAGAGCTCTGACTTAGGGCTAACGCCTTACCTGCTATACTCTCCCACCGACGCAGCACCACAGTTCCTTTAGAAACTTACCCCTTTATTCATTTGTATTTTAAAACGGTTCTTCTTTCAACAGCCCTGTTGCGTCTCCAGGTGATGAGTTAAGTAAAGTTGATCGAGTTTGTGATGCTGTGCGCGCTGCCTTGGAAGCTGTTGGCCATAACAAGTAAGTCATAATTACTGGTTTGAGTATATTTTAAGTGAGTAGCATTAGTTTTCTGAGGTTTCGCTACTGACTAGTTCCCAGTTTTAACTTATCTGTGGTGTCTGAAAGTGCAAGCGATATGGAAACTAGTCATTCATCAGCGCACAACGAAGAGCACGAAGGGAACTGTTCCCGTGCATTTCCAACAGAGAGGCGACTGGGGAGGAATTAGCTCGTTCCTGGCTCTCTATCAGAGAACAGTGCGTATGTATGTGAACACCTCAGTTTTGCCCAATTTATTTGTAGATATCTTCTGTCCATCCTAACCACGTATGTGAAGAAGAATGATCCAGAGTTAGAGAAAGTTTTGATGATCATCAAAGATTTAAAAGGTTTGTTTGTTCGTTTGTTTCAACCTCCTACAGGTAGTAATATTTGCTTTCTCACCTTGTGCTAGAATCCTGGGTTCGATCTTTTGATAAAAGTGAATCGAGTCCATGAAATTTCTTCTTGCTTGGTACAATGTCGGAGACTCCGGAGTGTAAGAAACGTTTTCTCGTCAAGTCCTATAGTTTTTCCACTTTGATCCATTTTTTTCTTCAGTTTTGCGGAGAAAATCGACTTTTGTTAAAATCATACCGTTTTGCCGTCATTGGAACGATTTAAATCATTGGTATTTTTGCAGTATTTAGATATTACGTTACCGTTTAGGCGGTCTTAGCGAAATGCCTAGATACTACTTTTTCCCTTTTTATGTAAGTGGTAGGTTTTGAAGGTGTTCACAATATATATGATATTTATTAACTTAAGTTCCTATTTTCATTCAAGCCAATCCAGTAAATACAACAGAAACTGAACGAGTTACGTCAGAGGAAGCCCTTAGATATGTTCTCTTTCTGGTGGACGTCAATCAAATGTATGACGTAGCATTGGGAATGTACGACTTTGAATTAGTACTTATGGTCGCTGAAAAATCGCAGAAGGTAATAATAAAAGTGGACAGCAGTATTCTTTGCGTGTTTATGTCTAGAGGAAGCCGATGACGCTGATTTGTACCAATTCACATTTTTTTCAGGATCCTAAAGAATATCTCCCATTTTTAAATAATCTACGGAAAATGGAGACAAATTTCCAGCGCTTCTGCATAGACAAATACCTTAAGCGCCACACTAAAGCTATTCAACATCTTAGTTTGTGCGGTAGGTAGGGAAGTTGTAATGTAATATGGAGTATTCTTGTTGCGATTCAAAGGGGATAGATTGTGAAGAACAAGTCACCTGTTACCCCAACAGTCCGCCTTGTTGGAGCAATAGTAAACCAAACACCAGAAACTAATACTGTGTGTTGAAATTCTGTGCAACGTAGTTTGCAGTATAGATGGGTATTAGCGACCTGTTGAGGACTTTTTTTTCTCTTTTTTTCTTTTGGGGGGTGGGGGAGGGGGAGGGGGGGGACGAGGGGGTGGTAAAATATTTTCATTCGCTTCACCCTCGTGAGTTGGCTCTTACTGAAGTAGCTTGACGCAGCAGTGCGAGTGACTTCTCTTATGTATTCTCCAGGACCAGAACATTTTGATGAGCTTGTTTCACTTGTGAAAGAGAACAGTCTATTCAAGGACGCGCTTAAGCTTTATGGGAAATCCAGCCAGGAGCAGCGGGTGAGTCGATAAGTATGCGATTGAAGATTTTCATGTTCGTTCTGCTATTTTTCCTTTCCAATGATTTGATGACTCAGTGTCCATTTACGAATGGACTGGACCAGAGTAAGGTCCTATGCATCCACCTGACTTAGCCATAAGCCCACCCAGGCTACTCATCAAAGACGTTGAAGATTAGCTTGTCTGTCTCAGGTTAATTTTGAAATAACTGCGTATTTACAGGTTTTATTGGTTGCATATGGCGAGTACCTAGTTCAACAGAAGCGACACGAGGAAGCCGGACTAGGTATGTTATTTAACGTTTCAAATTTAGAAGAGGATAAATTTGCATTTTTACCTATATGTGGTTGTTATAAATCTGCTTCTACCAAACCCTCCATGTATAACCACAATGAATTTAGCACTTACTAGCCTTACCAGCCTCAAGTATTCACGTTCCTTTTTGCAGTATTTACCAGTTGTGGAGCTCACGAGCAAGCTCTATCATCATTCCAGAAGAGCGGAAACTGGAGACAAGTGTTTTGTATGGCTTCTCTGTTGCAGCACACTGGCGAACAAGTGGTATCATTGGCCAGAACAGTTGCAGGTGTGCTACTCACCTCTTTGGTAGAACTCTCTTGTTCTTGAAACATCTGTTGGTCAGGATTAATGTGTTTGTTTGCAAAACTGTAGGTTATCTGAAAGGACATAAGCGTTCCCTTGAAGCCTCCAGAGTCTTGGAAGAATATGCAAAGGTAAAGAACTGCAGAGAACACAAGAGTCTAGTTATGAGTGACTGATAAACCATCACTCAGGGTTAGTGCGTTTATCCTCGCACCAGCTAATGACAATTTCTAAACTCTTTTATGCTATGCCTTAGATTTATGGTTTTTTATTTGAATTCCTTCTCTATTGTTACATTTTCATTCTTTTCAAATTTTGAAGACTTGCTGTTTCTTAGTTTGGATTTATGTCCTTGTGCTTTGTTGTTTGGTTTCTTAGGATCCTGAGGAAGCCATTGCTGTTCTTATTGACGGAATGCAGTGGGAAGAAGCTCTGAGATTGGTGAGTTAGAGAGTTTTAGGACGGCGTCCCTCCTGTACTATCACGGGAACTCAAACGTATTATCAAGTCTCTGTAAGAATTTTTTTGAAGCACGCTTTTACTAGTCAAGTCGATGGTCTCGTTAGCACTAGCGGGACAGAGGAAGCCTGGAGCGAATGAGTGAATGAGCGTGTAAGACTGGGGCAGGATTATTTTTTCCTTTCAGACTTACGTGCCTTCAGTAGAGAGAGCGAATTTCCAGAGGAAAAAAGCGACATAACAGTTTTGCTTAAAACTCGACGGAACAGTTCGTCTCCTTTCGTGTGACTTATCAAGGGACGCAAGCCCTTTAAACTCGATGGAGGATGGAAGCGGTTTAAGTTAACTTAGGGCTAACTTTGTATAACGTCGCCGTTTACAAGGTTCGTGTTTATGTCCCTTATAGATGCATAAACATGATCGGACAGATATTGTGGAGACACATTTGAAAGGCGCGTTGGAAGAAGGTTTGTAATAGTAATTTAACTACTACTTATCTTCGCAAAACGGGAATTTCTGATCATCCGCGGAGTCATCATTGAAGAGTATTCGCGGGATTTTTTTCATCCGAAAGATATTTAAAAGAAAAACAAACAAACAAACAAACGTCATTCCAAGAGTTGAAGGAGTCGTCATCTCTTTAACAAAGTTTAACCGAAAATATTTGCAAGGCTCACTTGAACTTGTTTTCCTTGTAAGAATAGGAAGCTTAAAGAATAAAGGTCTGTTTTTTTTAATTTTATTTTTTTTAATCTCAGCCCATAACCACCACTTGAGTTCCATACAAGAACAGGAGGAGCTGTTCAATAAATACACCAAGCGACTGAAAGTTGTCAGAGAATTGAAAGAACAGCGAAGTGTAGAATATCAAGGTATAACACGACATTTTTAGATAACTTTTTTGGTTGCTTTGTTCCATGCTGGTTCATTTGCCTGTACCTTTGAGTCAGCCAATAATTTCTTTTTTTCCAATCATCTTCGAAATTTTTTCGTCCGTGTCTTCCTTTACAGAGAGTGGACTGGCGCGAGATGATACGGACCTGTTCTCCGACACGAGCAGCGTAGGCGATAACTCGGAGTATGCCTCTAGCACCAGTTCCCGTGGGTCAAGATCAACCGGGTAGACAAAAGTCCTATGTTAAACTTAAGTCACATCTTTCCTAAACTTCTTTGCGGCTAAGTAATTCAAATTTATTTTTGACAGGCGATCCTCCAAAAATCGAAGAAAAACTGCACGAAAGATGTACAGCTTGAAAGAGGGAAGTAGATTCGAGGATTTAGCCTTGATGGAAGCACTTTCTGACATTATTCAAACCGTTCACAAGACCACAGGTATGCGAGTCCTGTTCATGTATTAGCGCCCTATATATTGGATAAATCAAGGCAGGTCCATAAAGGGCGCGGAAAGAAGATTTAGGGGCTGAACTACTGATTCATTTGAGTCTGGTCGTAAAGACGCAAGCATAGACACAAGGCTGAAGTACGCATGTGCAGTTAAGTGTCAGTTATAACTAGAGTATCGTGGTGCATGCAACGTTATTTCCGATTACTTCATTTGCAGACGACATGGCATCCTTGCTCAAGATGTTGGTTTTGTTTGATCATGCGGGACAAGCAGCCGTCCTTCAAACCAACTTTGAAAAGCTAATCTCAATGATAGAATCATCGATCGGCGTTATCTGGCCCCCAGAGGAAAGCTCCAGCAATTCAAGTCAAGTTTTCCAAGTACGTTAAGCTGACTGTAAATATTACCCAACTCTCTATCGATTTCTCGGTAGCTTAGTGGTAGAGAAGCGGATGGCGAAGGCATGTGTTCGGCTCCTAACGGCGACTCAGATTTGTTTAGCTTGTACCTTTCTCGTTACAAAACGTCAGTGAGTCTTTTGTTAGTGATTTACTCTCCCAACCGCGTCATTTCGTAATTTAAAGTCTACCCTCCGCTTCCGATAGCAATCGGAGGGCAATCGTTCATCTTCAAGCAACAACTTATTATCTCCAAACGATCTTCGAGACTTACAGAAGTACAGAGCTTGGTTCTTTTTCAACCATTTCGTATTACGTGGCCTTCAAGGTAGAGTCGGGTTTCATTAATTTTAATTTGTCTTTTTTCAGATCACAGGTCCAGGAGCTACTGTTAACAGCATCATTACGGCGATGAGAAGTGATCAGAATACGACGTTAAATAATCCAAGAGGTACTCATCAGTGTTTGCCTTTTTATTTCGTTTGCGATGGTACATGTTTAATTTTAAACATTTCAAACAATTTTAAATACTAGAAATCCTGAAGATGGCCTGAATTTGCTTCGTGCCAAAATACACAATTGACTATTGCGTGAAGCGCGGAAAATTTTCACTTACCCCGGGAATGTAAAAACGGCACCAAGCACGGGCGCTGATAAACAAATGGTTTCAAGCGAAGTAGAATCTTCAACATGTTTGGATCTGTCCCTAAAAAAAAGCCTAAAACAATCTTGGATCATTTTAAAAATCACTACCGTTATTTCTACCTGCAGATGAACTGCAAAGACCAAAACCTCCTCCCTTTAAAATAGCAACGAACTGGAAGCTTGACCAACTCCTGTCATAACGAAAGGCAAATCGTTCCCGAGAAAAGGAGAAACAGCGTGTTTCACGAGGCTTGAAGTTCAGTGCTCCTCACAAGCAACGCTCTTATTTCAAGGACGTAATGAACTTTTGTCAAGGGTTACAGAAAGTAAGCAAGCAATAGATAGGGAGAAAGATCAAAAGTAATAAATGTACGTGGCAGGCAAGAAAGCGACAATTGCGAGGGTGAAAGAACACAGAAGTGAAACGACACAAGACAAGAAGAGTTGTTTTCCAAGCTCTTTATATCAATTGAGTTAAACACTTTATGGCTGATGTCAAGGCATGAGAGAATTCAAAAGCTGGCAATAAATTAATAAATGAACTCCAGTATGTAAAGTTTATATATTCAGTGTGGTCACTCTTGTAACTCTCTTTGTTGTGGAGCTGGTTTGCCGTTATATTTAGCTAAGTCAACTTGGAGGGATGCCACCACATCTGACTTTGCAGTAAGCTTGATATCATTCGTTTCACTACAGAGGTTCTTGTTTCACATGAACAATGTTGAACCGTGCTTCACCAGCTATCAAAGAGAACAAAAACATAGTTGAGGGTGCGACGATATGTGACAGTGTGACACAGGTTTTGAGATGGCGCTACTGATCCTAGCTGATGTCCTTCAGGCGAAAGCAAGCCGCCAAGTAGAAAAAAAGTTGGATCATTTAGCTTAAATATGGCGGCGTGCGAGCCGTATTCGGGATTAAAGGAGAGCTATTCTGCTTGCTTCTGCTTGACTCAGTGTGCTCGCTTCATTAGCAAAACAGAAGTGATACTCTAAACATTTTACCTCGAAGATTACGAAGTTCAATCTCAAGATATTCCCTCTTCTTTTTCTCCAAATCCATCTGCAGCTTGTATGAATCTGAAACAACAATTGAATCAAAGAATTTAAAATAATTTGAAGAAAACTAAACAAAGACTGGTTTTATCGAGAATCGGATCTGTATTGAAAATACTGCTAGTGCCTAACGTAAAGAAGGCTTATTTCAGGCCCCGGTTCTTCAAAGGGAAGATTACGCCATCCACTGGATAAATCTCTATCCGGTAGATAACACAATACGTTTTGATAACACTTATCCGCTGGATGGCCTTATCCGCCTTTGAACAACTGGGCCTAAGTCTTTAACACTTTGGTGATCTTGGTAGACATTTTCTCATTCCCTCGACACTGTCACACAGATTCTGGAAGCGAAAAGCAAATAAATATATCATAAAGATCCTTCTAAGTAAAACTGTTATTCTAGATTGTTGTAAAGAAAAGAGCCTGGAGAAGACACCAGCTTACCGTGCAAAATCTTCATTTCTACTTCCCTTCTTTCGATGTTTTGTAGCAGTTCCGCATTGGAATCTGCCCAGACCAAACAAAAAAGCTGTCAATTTAACATCGTAAAAATCGAACTAAGTAACAAGCCTAAGAAATACGTGAAGCGAGTGCGAGACGCGCAAGGAAAGGAACGCAGATTTCTTTCTCAGTTTAATATGATCAATATCGAGTACGTACTCTTCACTTGATCCAATTCTCGCTGCACTGCCAGCCTTTGCTTCCTCTCCCGCTTTATTTGTTCCTGATATGCGTCTTAAGAAAAGCAGAATTATAACAACATTATTTACTTCAACAAACTAAATCAAAGAAGATCAATTTTTAGTCTTCTACAGCCTGAAATATTCTTTAAAGAAAAGTCTGTCATTGATCAGTAAAAATTTTTCGATTTTTCCCTTCCTTCCCTTAATCTAGCCTCCTTTATTAGAGAACAATTTTGGGTCTATTCAAGGGCTGATCAATTTCCTTTTGCTTGCAACGTTTTCTGGGTAAGGAATTCTTATATCATTTACCATATAAAATGTTCAGTTCTGTTTCTTTGCGCTGCAAGGTTTTCAGAAGGTCATTGTGGTCTGCTGCAAAATCAAGAAGAATGTTTTTAAGCATTGATCAAGTACAATGTATCTGCCTGAACTGTTATAAAATTAAGATATTACAACTTAAGACAGCCGTACAGGTTTCAAATTACCCCTGTGTTTTTTAGCCAACTGTTCCATCCATGCACCATCACTGACTAAAACCTCCCTGGTTCTTTTGCAGCTATGATGGCTACAGTCTGAAAAAAAAATTTTAACATTAATATTTACAATGCTTTCCTTTACCACACTAACACACTAAGTAAACAGGGATGGAAAAAAACCAGGAAAGCACGTCTCCACAGACACACAAAGACCAACACAACAGCCAAGCAACTGATTACAAAGTGAGCTGAAGGGTTGACAAGCAGGCAGTCAGAGAGAAACAGACCAACAGATTAACAGAGTCACACCAAAAGGCAGGTACACAGCAAAAAAGGAAAGAAGTAGGCCTTCATAGCTAAAGAACAGATGAGACTGAATGACAGAAAATTGGTTTTACTGACTCTGAGTTGATAACATAGATTGGCCATTGGAAAGAGTTCCTCTTTATAGTGGCCAACTTACGTTATCAATTCAGTTGATAAAACCAAATTCTCTTGTAATACTCCCTAGCAAGGTAGCACCACAGTTTGTTTAGAAACTTACCCCCTTTATTCAGACTAACAGAAAGACACAAACACACAAACTCTTGGCAAGCAAGCAACCAATCAAATCCTAACTAAGCTGAGAGGCTTACAAGAAGATGGAGGCTAACTCACCCCTGGAAAACAACCAACCATTCCATTGCTAAATGAGCAGAAAGTGAGACAGACAAACAAAGGAATAATATGAAAGCAAAAAGATAGACAAGCAGACAACTGAGCAATCACATACAGTTACACTGTCTAATAATTTATCCAGAGGGCTTACCACAGTTTGTAAACTTTACTGAAGTACCTGGAAGAGTCTGGCTTGCTCCATTATCACTTGAAATTTTTGAATGAATACTTTTACACGTTGTGACAGTACTATTTCCTAAGATGTTGCTTGGATGCATCTTGGTACAAGATGGAGTGTCACAGCTCCAACATCTTGTCATATCCACAACATTGACCTGACTTCTTTGATTGACATCCAGTCCTACTTGGTTGACATCTCTATCATGTCTGCCAGGAAGATGTAATGGTGGCAACTGATTGTTTGAGAACAATGGTTTAATTGGATGTAACTGATCACCAGGAGAATTCACCTTATCACTTGTGTAGAAAGTGATTTGAGTAGACTGTAAAGGGTTGGTGGCGCCAGCCCTTGAGGATGGTGATGGCAATGAGGGGTGGAACAATGTCTCTGGCAAGTCATCATCATCATCATCATCATCATCATTAAAGCTATCCACAGATTCTGAGTCATCACTGACAAAGGCTTTGAAAAGATCTGGAAAGGAATACATGTCACATGTCTCACCATCTGCAGGATTTACATCATTGTTCTCTGTGCTGATGGACTCAGCATCTACACTTGAAATTCCACTAGATACTGAGCTGCAGGCCACACTTTCCACTTCTATTGGAGTCTGCCACTCAATCAGTTGCAACCTGGTTTCATTTTCTGGTGTGATGTAAAACTTCAACACCTTATCAACATCTGACTTAGTGATGTATGAGCACAAACTTGGCCTTTTCATCTGGGTCAGAACTTTCAGTTGACAAATGTCATTGTAAGGATACTTATACTTGACAATTCCTAACTTCTGAAGATTGTACTGCAACTGGACACTTTGGCCGCTCAAAAGCTGCACAACTTTGTGAACATCAGGCATTGACACAACAATCTGATCATTTACAATGAACAAAGGAATTTTCAAAGTTTCTTGGCCACCATGTTCAACCAGATGCCTTTGACTGTCTCCGCAGACATTGTTGACTGCATCTTCTAAATTGATTGGCTCACTCCATTCAATGTTTTGTAGAATTTTGTCTCCATTGTCACAATGACTTACATGGTACATTTGCAATAACCTTTCAGCATCAGTCTTGGTGATGTAGGTGCACAGTTTTGCTCTCGAACTCAGAATATTGTGTGATTTTAGCCGCTGCAAGAAAACTCGTTCAAACCTTTTTGTTGGAATGTTAAGGCGGTGCATATAATTTCCCACTTGCGCACACTGTTTAAAGATGTCAATAACAGCCTTTTGAAGATCAGGAATGCAAACAACAACCTCATCATTAACACAACAGGTACGAATTACATATCTGCATCTATTTGTGCCACCTCCTTGTGACATTGGGGGACTTCCACTTTGTGGCACAACATGCAGCATGTCTGACAAATCATCCATTTCATCTTTCTTACCCAGGCCACTTTGCAAGCTAGCTCTGTAAGCTTTAGCACTGATTTCACTTTGACAGGCATTCAAGTTGAAATTCTCAATACAATCACCAGATTTATTCAATGAATCAACAGCCTCAGGCTTGTCATACCCTGCAACACTGTTTGATCTTTGTCCCTTGCTAAATAAATGTGATTCATTTAAATGTATCCATACAATTTTTGGTGGATTTTGGTTAAGGAAAGCTGTAGTGTATTGCAGAATTCTATCAAAATCCTTCTTATTAATAAACAATCTTGTACAGTCACCATCAGTAATGGCAGTGGGAATTCCTACTCTCTCCAGCTTATTGGACATAAACATACTGACAGTTATTTCTAAGGTTGATAGAACTTGGAGTGAAAGGTCTGGCCTCTCAAAATGCACAAACAAGGAATTTAATTCAGATAAGGTTATAACTTCCTGGTTTTCGATCATATATACATGAATCCTATGCAATGAGGAAATGGCATTTTGTGATGGCAAAGTGATGTTGGAATTTTTATCGTTTCCAGTCTTGCTCTGCACACCTTGAACATTTGCAGAGCCTGAATGATTATCACTGATTTCAACTGGAGTCAAAAAGTGTATAAACTTGGCTTTATCTGTGTTGCAAATTTCATCATACTTCATAAGTATTTGATGAAAATCTTTGTCACTGATAAATGAGCATAGTTTCACCTGCATGTCCACTGCCCCCATGCTCTTTAATTTACTCAATTCTGATTGGCTGAATCTATGTGTGTTGATTCCATGCTTTCTCAACAAGTGCTGCAAATTACTGTACGACCCCCAGATCTTTAAAACTGCCTGGCATGCATCAATAAAGATGATCACAATTCTACTATTTTGAACAAATCGAGGTACACAGACAGCTAGTACTTGCTTCTCTCTGTTACTTGCATTGTGAGACTTGTTTGGCTTTAAAGGATTAGAATCAGGCTCAAAGTGCTTTGGAGAATTGTGATCCACTTCAGTTCTGATTTCCTCTGTGGCAGACCCGTTCTCAGAATTAGAATCTATAGCAAGAGGTATATTTATGTTGGTAGCCACTGAGAAATCATCATTTTCCCTATAAGGCTCCATACTGAATTCTTTCTTTTGTCTATCTGAAGTACTTTGCTTGGGGAAACTCCTCTGCTGCAATAAAACTTCAAGCGGTAAAAACAGTAAACCATAAATTATCAAAAAACAAAATTGAGTATTTTCCATCTTGAATATTTTAAGGACAGAAATTACTTCCAATCAGAAATATTTCATTTGACCTGGATGGAAACACAAGAGCTATTCTTTACAGCTTCTGTGTAGTGAGTAGTAAGAAAACATTTATCAAAAGTACTCCATGAAAATGCTGAGGGCCATTTTTTCCTTAATTTAACGTACTTCTTTAACAGAAAGTGTCTTCTCGGAAACTGTGTTCAAATGCATGTAAATGGTGCATAATTCAGTTTCCTATTTAAACAGGCTTCCTCTGTCGCTAGGAAAATATAACCTGATCAAATATGTAAACAACAGTACATACCTGCTTCACAGAGGTAAAAGAGGAATTCCTCGATGAACCAAACAAAGGAATAATAAACACTTTTCTTCTTTCAAGGACTTAGCGACCACTCCTTGAAAACCAAAGATCTTTGTGGCCTGGTTGGAAGATATAGTAGCCAGATTCATCGACATTTTATTATCATTTTCTAAAATCTCCCCCGGCCAAACCAGATAAGCTCGTTGCGGAAATTACTTCCTTACAAATTTCCTCCAAATAATTAGAAATATAACTAAGGCGTGACAAACTCGTCGCGTATTGCGTGACTTAGTGCCTGTTCATTTCTACTCGTCTACGTGTGATTTTTGGTCGAGTTTCACCAAGGCACGTCGAATATTCATCGCCTCCAAGGCAGAGAAACGCGAAGATGTCTAAGTCTTTGAATTTGGGATTTGGTTACTTTATTGACAGTTCCCTACAAACTGCTACCAAACGCTTTTCACACAAGAAACTTTGGTAAGTGGCGATCGAACAGACACTGACAGATCGATTAAATGGTTTTTCTCAAACTAAGTTAGACGATTCCATCCTCATTAGGAATGTTTCTCACGACCGCGTCCTTTTTAGAGGATCTTCTAAACCCAAATTTGATTTAAATTCAAACATTGTCATGTTTCGTTAAATCTACACGTTAATTAGAAAAACCATTCATAATTCTCAAGATCATTTTATGTAACTCTTGTTGTAACCTTCATTCTCCCTGATCATGACCCCGAGGATTGTTAATTTGTTAACACTGGTTTACTGCTCCCTATTCTTGCTTACAAAGATTTTTATTAAACGAGCCAATATTTCCTCCTTGCGCCCCTTCCTGGCAAGATTTCCGCACATCCCCATACTTCATTATGCATGCAGTTCTTGGATAAAAAAAAACAATGACAAAAAAGGGGATTGCCTTTAGGAATACGGCTTTGTTTTAGGAGAGTTTGATTTTATACAGATATCTTTCCAAGTTCCTTGTTCAACAAAATAGAATTGGTATATTCTTGTCAATGATATACCCACATATTTACAAGCTGGAAAGTTAATTAGTAATCATCTATCTTTCATTCAATGGCCTCAAACAGTGACTCAAGTGATTGTTGGAAATTGATCATCAGTTAAAATAATAGATACTCATTAAGTAAATAAATTATATGCTAGAAATCTGCAACTAACCAACAGATTGCCCACTAATTGATGAATCTTTGACTCAACCTCAATTTCTTATTTGTATAGGAATGTTATACTTCATGTTGTGACATCTTGGCCCAAGGCTTGGGCTATGCTATGTATTGGACGCAATATTCTACCCATCTCTCTCCAGTTGTTACTTATTATTTTGAAATGTCTCCTGTGTATTGCACAAGAGCCTCCAATGGGGGTAAGTGCTACTGTTGTAAATGTCATAAGTTTAAGTTTTAAGTCATCTATAACAAAAATCACTGCTTTTACATCCCCAACCCAAGACCCCTAGAGATTCTATTTGAGTTTCATTCATTCCTTTGAAAAATTTAGCTTTTGAATGCCTCCAGGATGGATATGGATATATATCCCTAATACGAAAGTTAATTTTTCTCTTTCACACCCATACACTCTTGTTAATTTGAGTGGATCATAGAGTACACTGCAGCTCCTTGCCAAGGGCTCAATATGCTTCTTTAAAATTTTAACATTGACAAAAAGGATTAACTTTCTTGCACTTTACAGATAATGAAATAAACATTTGTAACTGTTCATGCCAAAATCTGAGTGATCACTGTTGTGAGTCACGAATAGATGGGCCTTTATATTGCAATACAGGAAAGTAAAATGATGTAAATAAGGCTTCATGTTAAATCATCCTTGCTCTTAAACACATCTACATGAATTAAATTAATGTTCTCTTTGTTTATGTTCATTTCTTAGTTTGTATATTCCATTCTGTACAATGTCTTGGCATACTACGCTGTATATATACACACTGGCATAACAACTTTCCAGGCTGGCATTGTCATCAGTTTATGCCTGGTGCTTCAATTCTTGGGACACCTTCTCTTCGAAGGTGAAACTCCTCAGAGACTACCAACTAAAGACGACAACTTGCTATTTAAAATACTGGATCTGGCAAATGAGTTATTTCTGGCACCATTCCATTTCAGTTTAACATTGTTGATCAGGTTCGACTTTCTACCAATTTTAAGGTGGCGCTCAGATGCGGCATTACACAAACTTATAACATCAACACAAGAGATCAAGTATGGCAAAAAGTCACCATGAGATGCCAAGTTCAACCACACAACTTGTTTCAAGCAAAATTTAGGAACTTCTGCTGGAACTATGACACTGTGTCAAAGCTGAAAGCTAAGCACTTTTAGTTAATTTTTCCTTTTCACCCTGGTGACTGAAAAGGAATTTCTCCAGCATCAATACATTTCACAGCAGAGAGGTGTGGAATGAAAGACAATAATCAAATAAAAAATTGTTCCTTAGCAATTTTTCTGAGCTAAAATTAATAAAGTTAAAGGTGAATGGCAAGCATTGTGGGGAATTGTTACTTAGATCTCAAGAATGAAAGGATCAGTTTCTTTGTGTACTCAGTGTGTAGTTTAAGATTTATGCCCAATGTTTTGAACTTGATTCAACAGGAAATCAGCTGTTGCTACAATTTTCGCACAGTAGAAAAATTCCATAATAACATAACAAGGACTGTTTTTATTGAACAACTGTTCATATTTTACCATTTAGACTAAATAACATAACACCCTTTTATTTATGGAAGTCTCTGATATATTATGATTATATAAAGTAATTTTTTTTAATTCCAGAGTAGCATTTGATTACACAGTCTGATCATCCAGATGCGACTGATATCAACTTTTTCTCATTGTGGCCACACAGACACCCATGCTTCAATTCCTGACCCTTGCAAAATCAATTTTACAATGTACACCAAGAAACAACCACTACAAACTATTTGTTGTGTAAAATAATTCATAAAATGTCACAGGCCATAATTATGATTTCCATTGACTTTGAAGTTTAAAAACAAAGTTAAAATCTTTACAATTTTCAAAGAAAGAAAATGATGTATTGCTTTTTTAATTTTCAGTCACTAATCTTTGCAAATATATCTAGTTCTCTGATCAAATCTGCAATGAAACAGTGTTGTGAATTTTACAGTAAAAATATAAACCACATGAGCTTTTGTGAATGTGAGCCTTTCCTCCTCGAAAACTTCAGGACACTTACTTATACCTGACCCTAATATACATTAATTTACAGTAGCTGATTAATTAAAAAGAGATAAAATAGTTGTGACTTCTTTAAAAGGAAAATATATTAATAAAGAAGGAAATTTTCAAAATTTATGAAGAGTCTTCCAAATTTTCGAATTCCTCTGACTCAGTTGTGTCTTCAATCTCTTCCATGGTGATATCCATTTTGGTGATCAAGTCTTGAACTGGGACAATTTCAGGGAGAATCCACTGAACTGGGCGAGATGTCAGAAGGTACTCAGTCATAACTTGTGGAGGGACAAATACATAGCCAGCCAGCTTGTCTGTAACATCGGAGAGTGGCTGAATGGCCTTGACCACCACATTAGCCACACAAGAGGGCATATCCTTTATTGAGTGAGCCTGAAAGAAGCAATAAATGTTTGTCTGGTACTATATTTCAGAATGTTACAACACAAACAATATTTGTGTACAAATGGCTGTGTTCCTTTTGTTTGGATGCAAGCCACACAAAAAACTGGCCAAAGTTCATCACATCAAGATGTATTCTTAAAGTTTCTGCATAAAATATACCAGCAAAGCAAACAAAGGTTTCCTAAATGGTTGGACTTTTCCTGATTGGTTTTTCTTTTCTTCCAAACATAAATTTTAGTTGAGCTAATGGGACTTACTAGAGGCAGAAATTGAAGACTTTAAAGTAGTTTGTTTTTCACAATAATTCTTCTTTGTACCCCACTCAATAGCCTGCACTTCATAGGGTTGAATCCAGTGTTCAATAGTGTGATGCATTTGTCAAAATTAAAACAGTTTATTTTGTTTTCTGATGGAAAATACAGCACTGCCAAGAATATTTAAGTCCAAACATATCAGAGTAGCCCACACATTTACCTGATTAAGAGCAAAAACTAGGTCCTTTGTACAGACAATCACTTCACCAGAAAGACCAAGAGCCAAGTTTGGGATGTACATGGATGCCTTATAGACTTTCTTGCTGCAATCAGATGATTTACCTAGTAAGTCATTCACGTGTCCCTGTAAACATGTCACCTGTTAAAGTGTAATAAACAAACTCACTTCATTAGTAACTAGCAAACAGGTTTCTACTGAGCCCTAAGTGATCATATCTAAAACCTGTTACATACCACATCAACACTGATCTTCACAGGCCTGAAAGTCATCAGTTTCTTCTTTCCTCTACGTGTCACCATGTTCTTAAGGGTTACAGCCCTCAATAAAGCTCCTTTGCTGGCAACGTCATCAGCTCTCTCTAGTTCTTTCTTGTCCTCTTCGTTGTTGCTGTCAGTTGGCAATGCCATTTCAGCAATCAACTCACTATAGTCCAAGACTTCCTCTGTCTTGGCAGCCAACATCTGCACAAAAAAGCTGTTTTGTACTTTGTTGTAGTACTCTGTGGCAGTATCAGCCACAGTAATCTTGATCTAGGAAAATTATCATTTAAACAATCACAACAATAACATGAAGAAGATTTCTACATAGCGGTTTTTAGTATGTTATAGATTTCAAGCAAATAGGGTTTACTCATAAACATTTCCAAAATTTCCTTCATGCATAATGACACCATTTTGTCTCTTTCAATTCAAAATCACAATACCAAACAACTTTAAAGTGCTGATATCCCACTTCGTTATAATAGAACCTTCAACAACCATTAATAGTTAATCTCCAAGTCACAAAAATTGTTTTCCTCAGTGCAACATATCAAATCAAAGTTCCTTTGTTGAGATCAAAACACAACAAAAAAAAAATGTCAACACATGAATAACCTGTCTATGATTGCATTAAACCAATATATCTGATGATCTGATGCCTCTCGAGAGTCACATATTTTTTTTAAAGACAAATTGGCCCCAGCAAAATCAACAATTCACCCACTGAGTGGGTACATTCTAAAAGACAATTTTGCTCAATATTCATTCAACATAACTGATGCATCTCAAAACTTGAGAGAGAAAAATTATAATTCATTCTTGTCAGCCTACTGCATGCTTTAAGATCTCACTGCACTAGGATCCCCTAGAACTATGTCCAAGAAATCGAGCTTATAAATATTTGAAGTAACCCTCAAGTAATGAAGGCGGAGAGTCAAGGAGTTATACCTCCGTGGGTGTTTTGGTCATGATGGGACACTTCTCTTCGACTATGGCTAATGTTCCTGATGCCACACGGTCAATGGTTGCAGCTATGATTAAAAAAAAAAAAAAAATTCAAAAAGAAAAATAGTTCACTGGTGATTGATCACGAAAAGCTCTCTGCAGGGAGGGAAGGTCAGGGTTGAAGTTGAGAGGTTTCATGGAGAATAAAACAAATCATTCACGGAAAAATCCCTCCCTCCAAAAGAAAAAAAATTATGCGCAGAAAGAAGCCAAAAAGGAGATTGTGCTCGATATAGATAGAGGATCTATAGGATATAGAGAGGATCCATGGATAGTTAAAGCATGGATAGTTAAAACGGATTCATAATTTAGAATTGAACACTACACAAGCTTTCTAGCGGAACGTTCGTTAAACAACCACCCTTTCTTCGCTTAACCTCGGTAATTGACTTTCCATTGTACAATAACAATTCTTTTGTTCTGAACCTACTTCATCGTTATTACAACACTCGACAAAAATAATTAGTTGAACCACAATTAAAGTTCAAAATCACTGAAGTAAATAAATGAAGCGATAAACAGAAATCGTTACTCGGAACAGAAAAAGGTCAAAGTACCCTGGCCAAAGTCCACTCACGAACAGTTTCCTTCGAGGGAAATACGATTACATTACAAAATAAAGCGAGGACGAATTACTATTAAGGCAGAAGTCTAGCACAATCATGGTTGACAAAGAAGCAAGTACATTAAGGTACAATAAACAGTAAACGAGAAAGCTATTACAAACTGGAATACATGTCAAATAAACATTTCGTAAGCGTCGTACTTCCGTAAACACGTCATCGAATGGGAAAAATTTTAAACTTACCAGCACATTCAACTGTTCCAACGATGGGTTTCGACAGCGAGCAAGTGCTGGCCGCCTGAATTATAGGTTTAGTAGCAGAATTCGCCATATCGATCGTTTTTTCACCGGCATTACAAGCCATCCTTGTGACACAATTTCGCTCCTTCACAGCATTGTAAATTTGTGATAGTTGATCAACTGCCGCCAGTGCCACAGGAAGTTCACACAGACGAGTCGTGAAAGACTTGTTCTCTACTTCAGTACACATTTTTCTCGATAAATGGCCGATGTCACACCAGTAAAGACACAAACTCGAGATTAAAACACAATTGATTGTAAATGATGTGCTCACACCGATACAACGATATAAGACTGTTTTTAGATCTGACTAAGTGACCACTCCTTCAAGAGCGGTAAGAGGACTGGGGAGAGCCCAGCTTCAGCAAAATCTGGAATGATTCTGAGAAGTGCCCAGCGCTTTCCAATAACATCTTGAACTACGCTGCAAACCTTTCGTTGACAAATTTAATAAAAACACGTCGTACAGACATTTCAGTTAAGTCTTAAAAATTTGTCGTTAAGCGGTGGTGGTTGGGTTTTTCGGTGAGGGAACGTGTTCCCTGGAGTGGTGTATCACGGTTCGAGTCTTCATTGGACACGTGCCTAATTCTGTCATGGGAGTGGCTAGACAGGAATTATTTCTCGGGTACTTTTAACTACTCTTCACTTCCACCTCTGTAGATAATCGAGTTGTTGGCAGAATAACAAGAAATGTTAACTGTCACAATTTCGTAGAGAAGGAAACAAAGTTTTGCGAGGGCCATCATGAATGGCACTTAACAGTCCACCTAATGCAAGATAACTACTATGCACGAGGTAAGTATAACCACAGCTTTGAGGTTGTCAGATGGGAAGATCCCCTTTTGCAAGTTGCCGCAATTTTTTTCATTTGTGTACATTTCCCCCAACAGCTAGACTGCAGGTATCGTTTTTCTCATTATTCCCAGGCAAACTGAAGCAAGTATAAGTTGAAGGGGGTGAGAAAGAGAAAGGAGCGTTTTTTGGTATTTTCTGAAGGATACTTCACAATTGGTAATTCGAAAAATCGTGGTGCTGAAACTTGGAAAATGAAATCCAACCACAGAGGATAGGTATATATCTCAGACAAGCAAAACACAACAACCCTTTACAGAAAGACGTCAAACATTCTCCAGCTAGATAAAAACGTCTAACAAAGCAAATGGTTACAATACAAAATTTATTTATGCTCTTTCACTACACTCATTGACTCTTACTGTTAAGATTGTAAATATTTGTTTTCTTGTAAAACAATGTCTTCATATTATCATTACCATCACCAACTTAATCAAGATGTGAAAACTAAAAAATTTTCTGAAACAATTTTTTCAACTTAATGCTATTTTAGTAAAACTGATTAAAACACTTAATGGCTGTAAGTACTTTAGTCTGGAAAGAAGGAAAATTTCAATCATTTGCTCATTTTCATTTGCAGGCTGATAGGAAACTACCAAATGTGAAATTCAACAATTCAGCGGAATTAAAAATGAGTTATAAAAAATAGTTGGTAACCAAAGAAACGGGCCTTTGAAATGAAAAAATAAAATATAGTCACTAATAATTGGCTTACATTATTTCAGCTTTTGAAGACTTCATTCCAAAAAGATGAATACTACATTGCAAATAAATGAATACAATATTTCTGGATGAATACTACTTTTCAAATAGATACTGTGTGCTTAATAACTAAACATATTTTTTTATAGATTGAGTCTAAATAAATTCAAGAGGAATCTTTCTCATTTTCCTCTGATTCTGCTGAGTCCTCATTTTCACCAACCAAGATTTGCATTTTCTGTAGGTCTTCCACCGCAACGATATGGGGTATGATCCACTGGACAGGGCGAGAAGTGAGGAGGTAACCAGTCATCACATGTGGAGGAACAAAAACGTAGCCAGAAAGTTTATCTTTTGCATCACAGATAGGTTGAACCACCTTTGTCATTAAACCTGTCACAGTAGCAGGCATTTCGTTCACAGGATGGGCCTAAAAGTGGAAATACATAGTTGTTTAACTTGGGCTACACAAGGAAGTACAACCAGCAATTACCATCAATTTATTATTTACTTGAACAAGTAGTTTGATGGCAAAAGTTGTCTGTTTTCAATAAACAAAATTTTTTAAAAAATTAGACTGACTAAAAAGTTCTAAATAACACAAAATGAGGACTTTTTTTTTAGCCTAAACACAGTACAACAAAGCTTGAGCTCACAAGTTTACCTGCGTGAGAGAAAAAACCAATTCCTTTGCCGAGACAATCACTTCACCAGTCAGACCAAGAGCCATGTTTGGGATGTACATGGTTGCCTTGAAAACCTTCTTGCCAGCATCAGTTGATTTTTCAAGCAACTCACTTGTGCACTCTTGCACACCCGCACACTGTTTAAGAGAAAATGATAGGTTCACTCTGTAAGAAACTAGCCCAAGGATTATTTAGTTAAAGTAATATTAGCTATTTATACAACTACAGACTATAATTATTGTCCTATTGTTTTGTGACCAAAAAGTTGTGCATTTAATGAGATTAACTATCTGGTTAAAAAAACCAACACTTAATGACCACCAATTGCCATAGACTATCAGTAATTTCCGACAATGAACAAAACAATCAGTGCAAATTTCTGAATTTAAAAAGGTTTGGTTGAAATGTAGCAGCCATTTCAAAAATTTACTGAAAACTAATTAGTAAGATTTCAGAATTTTTTCTTTTTTTTATAGTTTTTAAAAAATATCATTTAAGCAAAATTTAAGCACCCTAAAATGAAAATAATCAGATCCATAACCTATCACATACCGCATCAACACTCATTTTTACAGGTCTGTAGGACAGCAGTTTTCTTTTTCCTCTGCGTGTCAACCTCTCCTTCAGTTTGCAGGCTCTCGTCATAACTCCTTTAGAAGCATCTTCAAATTCGGTCTCCAAATCATTCATGTCTTCTCCACAGTTACCATCTGTTGGCAATGCTAGTTCAGTAAACAATTCACCAAACTCCAAGGCTTGCTCAGTCTTAGTCACCAACATCTTTACCATGCAGCTTTTCTGTACTTTGTCAAAGTACTCTGTGGCAGTATCAGCAACAGAGGTCTTGATCTACAACAACAATAAGTTGTTTGAGAAAACATTACATATCTCAAAATGATTTAAAAACAAGTTATATATGTATTTGCCACATTCAGACTTATAATTATTGTAGGACACTAATCAAAATTACACAACTTTCATACCAAATTGACCAAGATAAAACATGATCATGCCCTTGAAACAGAGCTACACTTGTGCATCAAAACCAAAACTGTTTTTCCTTTTCCTTTTCAATTACACTCAAGCAATTTTAGTGTATTCAGTGGATTGAGTGCAAGCATATTGACTTCAATTTTGTCAGCAATGATTTATAACTGGCACTTTTTCATAATTCCTCAGTGAACTATGAAATCAAAGTCAACTTTCTCAAGATAACAAAACAAACAAACTTGACTAGGCATGAATGAACTATCTATTGACCCATTGACCCGTAAGAGTGACTAGCATCTAATTTTTCCTCACAATATCATCCCTAGATCATACATTATGGTTACAAGAATGAAGAAAAGAGTAAAAACTAACAAAACTCTTAATTGTTGAAAAAATTATTTTTGTACCTTAAGAAATGTATGGAGAACATACATACTAATATTATGGTGGAAAGGATCAACTTAAGTCCAACACAAAACATGTGATGACCATGAATTGAGCATGCCTCTGGAATACCACCCTAAGAGCTCAAAGGCTTCCCATGACATAAGTAAAACTAAACTCATTTGATTTTAGGAAAAAATTGTCTTGATGTTCACCGATAAATGTAAACATGCAAGTCTGATGGTCAATATCAATTACATGCTTTCAGTACAGATGACTATGAGACAGTTGGCTGCCCCGTCAAGGAATTTGCAGTCAACTTCTTCTTCATACCACAAATAAAGGGTTTTAAGTGTACAGCAGTTCTTGTGTATTCTAAATTTGAAGAGCTATACCTCAGTGGGTGTTTTGGTTATAATGGGACACTTCTCTTCTACTATGGCCAGTGTTCCTGATGCCATACGATCAATGGTTGCAGCTGGGTGACAAAGAAAAGAAATAAAAGAAATAAATAACAAGTTACAGCCTACTTGTTGTCCCTCCTACAACAATACCACCTGCAACAAAGCCTACACTCATCCTCTAAACTACATTTACTGTCCCTACTGTGAACTCTGTGACATATAGAAAACAAGCCTTCTCTTTCTCCCTATCTATATTATGGAACAATCTACTAGATTCTGTTAAAAAATCTCTTTCATCTTTTAAATCTCCCCTCAAAACATTCTGTTTCAGAAATTTTATTTTTGATTTATTTTACATGGAAATATACCTAGCTTTCATGTCACCTAATTCTTAATTATTTCATTTATTTTATTTGTTACTGTTGTAAGAAAAAAATTTGTAGATTTTGACCAATTTATTTTTTCTATATAGTAATGTAAGCTTATCAAGTTTTCTAAAGGTGCCAAAAAACTTTATTATTATTATTATTGTTAATTTATCCCAAGAACTACCACTAAACATCTTGTAGAGCCACCTCTACCTTGTCACCACGATTTTAATAACAGGTTAAAACAACAACGGTGGTTCAGTGAGTTGTGGAGAAGTTGCCCAGCTGTGTTCACTATTCACTTCAATTATCTTTTTGTGAGAAAATGAATTTGGCAAAGTTGTGTTGGCTGAAGCAAATAATTGACACTTACTACTAGAGTGAACGTTGGTCGATTCATATTTAGAAATGTCTTCTTAAAAATCAATAGTATTTACAGAAATAATTTATTTTTTCACATCGTTGCTTCCAAAAGCTCGTGACGTTCAACACGTATCTTAATGATGTAATGATTTGCATAATAAAACGTCGCGCCACAAGCCTTACCTAAAACACCATTTCAAACAATTAAATTATTTTGAAACAATGAACAAAACCACGAGAGAAATACAAGTTATCACTAAAAGGCAAACTACAACTATAAAACTAAACAGTGCTCTGGTCAAAGTTCACATATACTTAGGACGTAGTACAAATTACTCTGACCACAAACTACGACAAACGCCAAATTTATGAAAACCGCAATTTATCAATTCACAAATTGCACAACAGCGTTATTAAAATATGACATTCGTGTAAAGCGACGGATTTTATTAGCCCAAACCCTATAAATTTCTACGAAAGAAAAACCAGTCTTTACTGACTTACCAGCACATTCAACTGTTCCAACGATGGGTTTAGACAGCGAACAAGTGCTGGCTGCCTGAATTATAGGCTTAGAAGCAGTATTCGCCATATCGATCGTTTTTTCACCAGCATTAAAAGCCATTCTGGTGACACAATTGCGCTCCTTCACCGCACTGTAAATTTCTGAGAGTTGGTTGACAGCAGCTAAAGCTACAGGCAATTCCCACAGACGAGCCTTGAAAGACTTATTGTCAGCTTCAGGCATCCTTTCGACTTCAGCAGCCATTTCTTCACTTTGCATGGGTGGCACTATCAGTATCAACAACACAAGGACACAATGTGAAGTAACTTTGAGATTAATGGACAAGGCATCGAAACGCTTATTAATGTGTTCAAGTACGGACTTTGCTCTTGGGCAGAGAGTGAAAATTGACCAATTACAATGAAGCTTAGAAACAGTTTCGTTCCGTCACTAATCTGACCAATCAGAGAAGGTTTCATATTTATAAAATAAGTTATGTCACCGTCTGCTCCGGAGTTCTTGACGGACAAAGTTCGTTACGACACGCAGACATTCACGTGACAGGACAGTGAGTTTAATGACATTGCTTCGGGGTTTTATTTACTCTCCCGTGCTCTCCCGTCTCTACATGAAAATTGATGCAATTCAATCGTACTTTGCAATTCCTTTCGTTTAAAATTGCCTCTTTGGGACAAAGATTTCCCACGGACAAGATTTGTGTAGGAACCTTCGATGGAATATTGTGTGACGTGACATAAAACGCGACTGAAGTTCATTCAAGGTGAACGTGAGACTTTGCCCCTTACGTTAATACCCCGCCAGAAAATTCATATATAAAATTAGAAAAAAAAAAAAAGTCCCGCGAAGAATGCGACATTCTTTGGGTACCAATTCTTTATTTTATACCCAATACGGAAACATTTTACCTCTGTTATTCCAGTTCAAACTCAAGGCTCTGAGGCAATACCGAACAGAAATTCGAAAAGGTTCGAAAGGCTCAAGCGCTTACATAACTCATACTATTAGCCATTTTCGACAAACAAACGCTTTCGTTCTCCCATCTCATGATGAAATTTTACCTTTGTAAACACTATTTCCCTTCATGCCAGCTTTTTTTCAGTTTTTCCTTCTTCGCTCCAATATTTGTTTCCTCTTGGGGAGTAGACAAACATTGGAAAGGAAGCCGTTTAGATTTTGAAAAGCATCGTCAAAGTTTCGCGTTTAAAATAGTTTCGAAAACGTAGTTTGAAGATCATCAGTTTAATTTTAAAAACTATGACAAGATTAGTGGTAGTGCATCGGAGCGTGGAATCGGAAAGTCTGAAGGTCCAGAATTTTTTCTTTGTCCCTTTGTCCTTTTGGCTCGTGACAAGGCGAAAAAACATCCCTCTCAAAACATCCATAGTTAGCATTTGTTAAGAGGATTCCCGGCGGAAATAACAGTTCACGGAAAAATTTACCTCAATTCAAGCCGATCCATTTCAATGCTTCAAACATGATTTCACGAACTATATCTCAAGTTGTTGAAAAAAAATTATTATTTTCGAGATTCCTCCTTAAGAAATGAACACTCAAGAGACGCTCTTCACGGCGCTTTTTTTATTTTCAAAAATATTATCAGTAATATGTTAGAACGGATTTGTGTCCGGGAGTTCGACTTTGAACGCGTTCAAAGCTCAATAAAAGCAACTGATATGGAAAAACTTTATTGTTTTGACACTCGAAGTAGGAATTTCGTTGACCTTTCACACCAGTCTGTTTGCATGATACTGGCATTTGCCAAATCTCAAGGCTTAATACTGGCACTGCAACTTCCGTTAATGACTTCTGAAAACATGTGATCGTCATGCCTTCCGAGGGTCTCGATTCAGCTTATGAAATCAGGCCAAAAGTCAGTTACTGATTCTAAAAAAATGCATTAAGGCTAATTATTAATTACAATTGATATGTTCATTTTCTCTTTTGTTCTAAATTTACATGAACTCTCAATTTCAATGACGTCAAAAACATATTTTCGCTAAACTAACTTGATCACTTGATCACTTGATCATATGATTAATATTAAGACCACACAGGCCCTCAAAAGATTGTTAGCTTTAAAAATAGATTGACTGCTCAGTGACGTTTTCCTCATTTTTTTAAAAATTTTTTTTTTATCCCATTGCAAAATTAATTCTGTAATTTATCGAACTACGTTTTGGGAAGGAGGGGGTGAAAATAGAGTGGGTGCAAGGTTCTTTTTCGCTCCAATATTTTTCACGCGTCCAAAAGTATGCAAAACTGTCCATTCCAGCGGCACACATGAAAGAAAAAAGGAAAAGAAACAATATTCTATCGTCACCTAAATTAATTCATTCGTTTTGCAGGAACTGACCAAATAGCAAGATAAATTCCGCGTGCATATGCAACCATATGTATATAAAGCCAATATGTAAAACGATTTTTTAACGTTGATTGTCAAAGTCGAAGTGAACGCCCTCTTGCTGAAGCAACAGATGGCAGGCGAAGGGGATAAAGAAGCTTGCGTTCACGAAACCAAGAGGTCACCTTTGCAAATGCCACAAGTTTTCAACCGTCTGGTTCAGTTACCGATTGTAAAATCAACTTGCGAAAAAGTGTCTGAGATGTACGAACGTACGAAGGAGTATAGTCTTGTTTCGATGGTCGGGTTGAGCGCTGCAGAGGTGTCGATAAACGCAGTTGTGGTCGCCGCCAAGGTGACATATACTTCTTTGCCTTCCTCTGGTGTGATGGGGAAAGTGAAAGAAGGTTTCGAAGAAAAAGGTAAGTTTATTGATGGATTTCTGCAGCTCGTCAAGGTTGTCTGAGACCGCTAGTAAAATCGTAGGGCTTTGTTGAGAGGACGTGTGCAATTTGTTGAGGAAGGGTTGGTTTATTTTGTCTCACTTAGATTCTCAAACACAATCAAGTCAATTTGGGTACAGTCTTATCGGAGCCTTTTCCTTTGATATTACAATTAGTAATATTTTGTTAGGCTTTGCAAAATTCAGTTATTACCATGTTTCCTGCAAGAGTTCAATTTCACCTTCCCCTAATATGAAAAATGAGGCTTTGAAGCTAAGAAAAGTGTGATAAAGATTTTTTTAATCATTTTGCAAGGGTTTGCAAACACCTTACCTTGAAGAGTAGACTGCAGCATCAAATTTAACCCTTTGACTCTAAGAGTGACTAGCATCTAATTTCTCCTAACAATATCGCCTCTGGACCAAATTTTAAAGTCACGAGAATAAAGGAAATGATCACCAACTAAAGCTCCTGATCGTTAAACAAATTCTCCTTATCAGCACCTTAGGAAATGTATTGAGAACAGTATGGAGAATATGCATACCAATTTTAGGGGTGTGAAGGGTCATAATACATTTTCAAACAGTTTTCCAAGCCGATTCAATGGCCTGTGATGGACTGACATTCCTGGAGAAAAAATGGCCGATAATAAAGGACAACACAGAACAAGTAAGTAAAAAGCCTCTTACAGGAAAATATCAATTTTGAGTCAAGACGTCATTATCGACAATACGATCTGCGATAGGAGTAAGGCCGAGGATGACATTGTTATGAATCGAAACTTGCTATTTTCTTAGGTAAATTACCACTCTGTTATCATGCTAAATAGCTTCTCATCTCGCGTTCTTTATTTAAGAACGTCTTCCAGGGCTGCACACCCACTCAAGGGTCGGCATGTCGACTTGGCACATAATTGCAAAATGGAGAATCAGGGCTATAGGGCGTGGTCGCGTACGACAGGATTTTTTTTTTATGACGATGTTTAAAATGGTGTCTTTATTTCAGGGGTATGCTGGATTGTTTCCAGCCCGGGTAATTTTATTTTTGTCTTTACAAGAGAGAAAATTAGATTCTAGGATGTAGGTGCTACCCCACGTCTTCCCGGGTAAAACCCTATAATTGATATGTCTTTTGTTTCTGTTGACAGGTTTTGACAATCGGAGCTAAGAAACTGGAGCAGTCAGATCTTGCGGAAGTCTTACTCACTGTTACAGAAGCAGCAATTGAATACCTCCTCCCACCTCAAGAAAAATGTATGAAGGAGGGTGCTGCTGAAGCCCCGCTTTACCAAAGTAAAGTCGATCGAATCCAGGGAATCGTTAATGTGATCAAGGGTGAAGGGGAAAAGGCAAGGAAATGAATAATTATTTGACAAGGCGCAATGATGACAGTGCATGATTCGAATTCTAAGCCGTGCTCTCGATCTTCTGTTTGATTTCCTTGAATTTTATGTGCCTCTTCTAGGTTATAACGCGGGCAGCCTCGGTTCCAGGTCGAGTCACTCTAGCTGCGATTGATGGCGCCAAAACTGTAGCCACGTGGTCATGGGGCATCTCTCAAATCCTGCTGCAAAACGTAACGGTAAAGGAACAAATCTAGCCACCAATTCAGTATAAATACGTTCTAATCGGTAAATTTAACTAATTTCAATCGAGGATGCGACAATTTAGGTTAAACTCTTCGCTTTCGAGAGTGAATCGAGTAAATTCACTAGCTCGTCAACACAAAGCAAAAAGTGCTGATTGTGATTTTAACTCATTTTATGTGTTAGTGATTTGTCGATTTTTAAAAGTAATTTTCATAACCCACCCTTGCCAATGATAGGTAATAGGAAGAATGGTCGGAGCCTTTTGGGACGTTTGGAACGCTACAAAACGGAAAACTTTTTTTTTCTTGCCGTCGTTCCTCGGAGGAAGAGGAGGAGAAGGAAAGGTTTGTCATTTACATTGTTGTACTCCTTCCGGAAAAAAAAACTGATCTTGCTAATGTCATAACAGTATTTTGCAGAACACCTTTCAGTCTCTTTGCGCGAAGACTAATTGCCTTGGTTATCCAAGACTTTGATTGAAATTCAAATTCTTTTCTGAAGATAACCGTTTGAGACAAATGTGTTCACCAATCATTCTATCATATCAGAGATATTGGGGTAAAATTAATCAAAAGTGTCATATTTATGAATCAAAACTGGAAGTAACGATAGCATACCAATCTTTAGATGCACCTCATAGTTAAAAATTATTCATTCAAGTGTAGGTGGTTCCTCGTGTACTCCTTTAGATTAGGAAGAAAAGAACCCCGATTACTCAGAATGATTAAGCATTTTTGAATTGTGCAAAAAACTTTTGCTTTCCCCTGCCCTACAGGAGCGGCTTGGACGAAAGAAAAACCCGACAAGATCCAGTCGCTACAAACCTAAAGCAGAATATTCTCGAATCATCGATGCTTCTCAACCATTCCCCGTTTCTCCCGAACGGAAGCGAAGGTACGACAGAGAAGACGAAGACGGTGCCTTGATAGTGGAGCTTATACACGTCAGCGAGGATTACGTTTCCGATGAAGATCCGGACTATGTTCCGGATGAAGCCGACCTCGAGAAAAGTGAGTCATCGGAAGACGAAGACGATGACGACGAAGCTGAGGATAGAGAAGACGAACAAGGTGACAAAGATGAAACGGAGACTGTCGAAGTGACGGGATCAAATGAAAGTTCCCCCAAAAAAGAGGAGAAGTCAAATCCAAAAGAGTCAAAGGAGGCCAGGGAGGAAATGAAAAGGGAGCGAAATGGCGAGGTCAAGGAGACGTCTAAGAAAAACGTTTCTGTCAAAGATGAGAAGAAAACAGAGGACAAGGGTGGTGAACCTAACCATAGCCAGAAAAACGACGGAAAGGAAGTTGGTGCCAAGAATCATGATTTATCGAAGAAGGATGCAAAGATAGCTGCCAAAAGCAGTGAAAAATCAGGAAGTCCTCATAAAACTGAAGGAAGAATTGTCCTGTAAGACTGATTGCATCTTTGTAACCTTCCTTACCACTGAATTGTATGTTTCTTTTTCTAGTTACAAGGAATGCTTCATGGAGACATGTGTAATTATTGTATTTATCATGTTTGTCCGTGAAAATAGGTAAGCCCAGCACTACTAGGATTTAAAGTCATTATGCTCATAAGAGCTTCCGCGAAATGAGTATCTGTTAGAAGTAAGTATGTCCATGATAAAGTGTATGATAAAGGACAGTTGCAGCCGAGAAAGAAGAGCCTTTGACAAGTGCGTGTTGCCATTTACTGCGAATAAAAAGTATTATTTTTCGGTGTTAATGAATAGGACCGATGGGTCGTTTGTGCGGTGTGGACCGGACCACGGGAAGAAAATATCGGCTTCGCTGTTTTTGGTTCTCGTTCTTCTTTAAAGGTTTTCCCCGGGTCCTCCCATTATTTTTACTCCTAAAACCAAAACAACAGTGGACGAAGAACCTCCTAAATTTCGCTTCCAGGGTCTCTCTTAAAAACCTGAGAAGCTTGAGCAATCCTGGTGGGAGCGTGACTGCAAAAACTCCAGTTATTCATTTCTTTTTGTTTTTTATCCATTTCGTATTCCCTAAAGCAACATGTATTTTCCATTAAATACATGCCTAATAAGTCTTAACCGAGCCCTTCGTTGTGATTCGGGAGGATAACGCTCTGCAGCGAACAGATCCCGATTGTAATCTTGTTTTAGTTTGTGGACACTCGTTCACGAAGTAGCTATTAGCATCCGATGGGTAACATTATCAGGCCACCCATCGATCGAGCAGCCAAACCGGAGTGCTAAGTTTGAAAAAGATAAACATGGCAACAATAATCCTGCTGCTTTCGAATGTTGCAAGCTGCATCAGTGAATGTTAATAAAGGGGGAAAGTTTAACCAAAGTAACGAATTCAAAATGCCCATTTAATTCCAGATGTTTTCTGTTTTGGCGTAGTCTGATGACTTGTGGCGTCTTAAGACAATGCAAAACGATTTTTTTCAAACGAATTCACAAGGATTTTCGGTTGCCTCGAGGTCTTTTGTGAAATAAAAATGCAAATGTGCTGATGCAAACGAGTGGATTCTTAAATAATAACCCACTCAACACAAAGTGTCGCATGTACGTCCAAATTTG